ACCGCGCGGAGCTTGTTTAAAACTGAAGGCAGGCCAACTCCCCTGGGAGCGCGAGCCATTCCCCAGGCATCTTTCTAGAGGAGGCGTTGCCTCCACAAACCCCTATTCCCATGAGGGGAAGTCGAAGGCAGGTCATTGGAATGTGACGCGCACTCACAGGGACAACCGAAACCCTCTCCTGATAACTTTTGAATATATCACGGTCAGCTTCACTGCCACGTATGTTGCACGCATTTTTTTTTTCTGCAACATTCTGCACGCGTGTTCTTTCTACCGCCCGTCGACCGCATATGTGTACGACGGACGTAGAGAGAGAGCACATCGAGGCACCCCAGTTTCATCAGACCGTGGTCGTCGCTGGCACGTGCCGACGTATTTTGCTGACGGGTGTAGATACGTACATACGTCGCGCTGTAAAGATATACTACTTTGAAAAGTGCAAGACCAGCGAAGAATTGGACACTTCGCCGATAGCTGCGACACACGGGCGAGCCGCGATTACTCTCCGCTACGGTTTCAGCGATCTGGTTGGATACCTTCGCGAGACTGTTGTCCATGACGGGGAAGAGTACGTCCATGTAGGGGGAGAAACAGTGCGGCCTTTCGACGTAGTGCCAAGCATTGTACATGCATACGGCGCAAACTTACAGATAATTAAGTGTGTTCAAATAGCGCTTGCGAAGCTCGACGTAGTGTGCAGGTTGCTCGTAATGCGACCACTTTGAAGTAAAATTTGTAGTTTCTCAAGCAGCATTCAGGTAGCATTCGGCCCTGCAGTGACAGCTGTTTTTGAGCGAGAACATCACATTCACGTAGTTGATAGTCGCAGCTATTGCACTATATATTGAAGAAGATGTTTCGCTACGGGTTTTCCTTTATAGTAATAGGGAGTTTTAGAATAGCGCACCGCTAGCCCTTGCGGTGCGGTCGCTGCCACAGCGCATGCGTCGTAACGCGAGTCGGCGATCGCGGACCGCGCGCAAAAAAAATCCGAAATTGCGTGCGGTAATGGCGGCCTGCATGTGGCCCGCAAGCGCTGGTTTCGAGGCTACGGTGTCGCTGCGATCGTGCGTTGCGGTTGGCAGCAGGGCAAGCGCTATTCTAAAACTAATATGGCGCCCGCTACGCCCGCAGCTCTTGCAAACGGTATTCTGAAACTCCCCAGTAATGTGTTCAACGGCTAGTGTGAACGCATGCACAAAATGCTCGTATTGCAATCTTCAAAGCTGACGGTGAATCGTCAAACGAATGTCTAGGACAATTAACCTTCAGGGCCAAACCTCATAAGCGCGAAAACGCACGCGACAGCGACGAAACAGGGCGTTCGCGCGACGTGTCGCGTGCTCGTTTTCGCGCGATCGCTCTGTTCTCCAGATTTGGAAACCGTCGCTCATCGCCCGGAAGTGCTGGGCTCAAGCAGCCAATAGCGAAAAACCGGAAAAGACAGACTACATAGGTGCACGTGACCCTGCTTGAGTCACGTATGCGCAACAAGAAATAACGCATTGTTTATTACGCATGTGCATATAAAAAAGGGCTGCAAGGCATTCATAAGCACTTTCCGTTTCATTACACAACAATATATATTATTTTTAAATTACATACCGCTCGCTACGCGGTTTTCTTGGTGCAAGTAGACGGCCTCATGCCAGCAACGGTGGAATTCGCTCGCCGAAGCCGTCGCTTGAATGAGGTTTGCCTGCGCTAGCGACTGATCGCGCGAAGCCGATCTACGTCGCGTCGCTTGTCGCTGTCGCGTGCATTTTCGCGCTTATGAGGTTTGGCCTTAATTCACATGAAAGGCCAGTGTAAAGCGGAGATTAGTTGTTAGCGGAAACGCAAGTGTCGCAATGGTCGTGCTTTAGCGAAGTCAACTCGCCATCGTCTGCACACCGTTCGCAAGCTTGCGGTTGGCCGTCGTTTAAGCCTGATACTTAGGAATAACGTCTTTGAACAACCAGGTGGTAACTGACTTTGTGGTGGCTCCGTGGCTGACATGCACTGTGTAGTCAGTAAGGCAATATCTTGTCTTGTCGCCTAAAAATGCGTAGATCACGATTTTTTATAGCAGCCATCGTCTTCTAACTGGTATGGAACTGTGCGTGCCCGTGAGTTAGATAATACCGTATTTATTCAAATGTGACGGGACTTTTTTTTTCAAATTTTTTCCACTAATGCCGACCCGACAGATGTAATGAAATGTTCCCGCTCGCGTTACAATCATGGTCGTGTTACAATCGAATAAATACGGTGTGTGTAATGTATACGGTGTGATGCATACGCAACCTAAGTTTTCATGTGCTTTCTTGAACTTTTTCAAGGCAAGTTTCAATGAAAACACTCGTGGTATTTTTCCAGAACACCATCCCCTGTGCACTGGTGAAAATCGACGCCGGAAAGAGTGAACCATGCATGGTCTGGATTGTTTTTCATCTTATTAAAAACTTTTCGTCGTTGTGGCATTCGTGAATAAAACAATAACGTCGGCCATCAAGCTTCTTTTTCCTCGTCCAGTCATTGCACATGGCGGCATGGTTCACGTTGGGATTTGTTTGTACGCCCCAATGTTTCCGGCCGCGCTCGGCAGGGCAGCGCTCCATGTCCGCAGAAACTCCAGCTCTCGTTCCCCATAGACGTATGACTTGGTACGTTGCAGATACGAGTCTTCAGACTTAAAATACCACAATGCCAGTCAGAAGAATATCTGCAGCAGTTTCTAGCGAGCGAGGCGACAAAAGATCTTCGCTCCAAAGATCCTTTCTGAATGGGCATTATCTTATCAGAACATTCCGTTGTTCTCGTAAAACAGTGCGATAGCATTCTGTAGCAATATCACTCTGTCATTGTTCGTAAGGCACTCTTACACTATGTGCATATTGTAGACTGACCGGCAGAATTTGCCTCTTTGATGTTACTGTTAGTGGCAGCGCCAGGATCTGTATACTGGCGGAAGACGGGGGGGGGGGGGGGGCACAACGACGGGAGTTTCTTCAGGGGGCAGGGAGGAGGGCAACTTATGATTTGTTTATGTTTGCTCTAGGGGGAAGAGGGGGGGGGCAGGCAAAAATTTAGGAGTATTCAGCGCCCCCCCCCCCTTTAATGCCCCCCGCTGGCACCACCCATGGCTACTGACGTTAGAGTTCAAAGAAACGGAAGCACGTGCATATATTTTCAAAATCGTACTCTTCATTGGCTAATTATGTCTACGTACTGCTCAGACATGCAGAATAAACAGAAAATGAAATTTAAAAAAAAATAATCTCCATATTCACAAAGTGAACGATGTTAGAGGGGCTTGCTCGGATCGACGTTCACGGGGCGTTTCTCGGCGAGGCCATTTCTGTTGGAATTGGCTTGTTTACAATGCGGTGCATGATGTCCGCGTCGAAGGCAGCGTTGTTGGGCGCGTTTTGCGGCCGCCAGTGCACAGTGTTCGCTACGTCGACGCTCGTAACACTGGTGTACATACCCGACGCCGGACAAGGCCCGAGCAGTAGAAGCTTGCCAACCAACCTATTAAGAGAGAGAGAGTCAGAAAACAACGGTTGCGTGTAAAGACAGTGAAACACACTGGAGTAAACTTCCACAGAGATCGTTTTATTGAGGCCTGTCACTCTCTTTATGAACTAGTGTTACGAGATTACTACAGGGACGACAAATTATGACACCGTTGTCATCAGCTGGCTTTGCTTCTAATTCCCCTGACCACGAATTCCCTCGGGGAGAGAGGGCAGTTGTTGAAGGCCTTAAAAAAACACGTGTTTTAATTACTTGTTCTCAGTGCACCCCCCACTGAACCCGCCACGGGTTCTAGGTTGCTTCTGGGTTGTTTTTAGTATTTAACTAGGTGATTGATTGATATATATGTGGGGTTTAACGCCCAAAACCACCATATGATTATGAGAGACGCCGTAGTGGAGGGCTCCGGAGATTTCGACCACCTGTGGTTCCTTAACGTGCACCCAAATCTGAGCACACGGGCCTACAACATTTCCGCCTCCATCGGAAATGCAGCCGCCGCAGCCGGGATTTGATCCCGTGACCGGCGGGTCAGCAGCCGAGTACCTTAGCCACTAGACCACCGCGGCGGAGCATTGACTAGGTGAGGCTGGGTTGTTTGTATGTTGATGCTCCGCCCACAGAGGTTCCAGTTAAGCCACAGACAGTCGACACGCATCTCCAAACTCGAGAGACCGACACTCGCGCTGAAATCAAGCATTTGAACCTCTCGCATTTCTGTCCCCCCCCCCCCCCCCCCCGCCTCTCAAAGCTTTCGCACCCCTCATAATTTCTACCAACGCAGGAGGAGGCGAAGGAGGGGCACCTTCTTGATCAATCCGGATTGAACTGCCTCGTAGTTAAAGAAAAGCCATAGAGAAAGATAGCGAAAATGCTGCATCTTTCTGCAACGGAACAAGGTTGAAGGTTCGACCCTTTTTGCACTGACGAGTCAGATCTGCGATGTGCATGTCACATTCAACTACAGTTTACTAGGGTTAGTGTATATGCTCCCTACAGTGTAGTAGAATTTTCTATTCTAGTACACTGTAATGCTCCCGCAGGGAGACCTCTAACTCCGATTCAAACATGCGGATTCAAATCTGCGCGCCGTTTGTGGCATTATGCTGCGCAGATGAAAATAAAGCTTCCCGGTGTGCTATTGTAACGATATCACTTCCGTAAAAAAAATATGGACCTAAACGTGATAATACCGAACTAACCACTGAAAGTGACGAGTAGAGTACAGGTATCCAGATATCGAAACTGAAAACGCGTGTTTTAAAGCAAGTATATTAATACTCTATCTCTCTCGCTTTCTCTCTGTACTCACCCACTTAAAACGCAAAATTTAAAACAAAGTATTAATTTATTATAATAAATTTCAAGAGACCTTTTGACACAAATAGTTTTACCTCAGTTGTTACAGTTCGCCGCTAGGTGAAAGCGCCGTTCCAGTCTTTCCTTTGCCTCTCTTTTTTACCTTCGTTTGTTTTGTTTTCGCACGTGCCTCTGCGCCGTTTTGCTGTGTGCGATACTTGATTTCGGAGGGGGGCGTTATTGCACGCGCGCTCACAATAAGCTTCTGTTTGCGTCACAGAGTGAGTAATAAGAGGCCGTGGAACGACCCTCCCTATGAGGATCTCGCCAAGGAAGGTTTGACAATCACACGACCAAGCCACAGGACCGGTCTCCAAAAGCGAAACAAAGAGCAGGAACTTATTCGCTGCGTGCGAGAGCAGAAAAGAATATGGTAAGTTCCTTCTTTCGAAGCAGTCGAGACGAGCGTTGAGGTTTCGAGACGCGCACCAGGCAAAAAAAAAAAGATGTGCCAACAACGAACGAACGCGCCTACGTAACCTCAGCAGGTGCATTTTCGCGCACTTACTCAACGCTGAGTAACGAAAAGAATCCGCCTTCGCGCCGACCGCATCTGATGTGGACGGCGATGACACAGCGTTTCGAAAAGACTCACTAGCACGCGCTTCCTCTGGTCGAAAGTGCAAACTGCTTCTCTAGTCCAATAGCACGCGCGCGTAACCACTACTGTCCCGTAAAGAGCGAGCAGAGATCAATCATCGGACACGGGAGTGGGAGGCCAGTCACTCCTCGTTCGTCTGCATACGCGCCGATTGCGACGCGCTGCTTCACCTTGACAGCTGCGCCGCTGTTACGATATGCAACTTTTGCGGAACGTTGACTTGCGAAACCCGCCGTGAATTCACTGTGCGCGTATTGCAGCAGCAGCGGCCGTGCTCCTGAGAGAGAGGGCCTCGATCATCGGGCAGCCTCCACTGTCCTTGGAAAGAGGGCCGTGTGGTCTTATCGGCACGAGCTCCGCGCCTTATCGGCCGAACAAGCCTGCGTCGCAGAAAGCCAACATCATGAACGGAACGGAAGAGACCTCAACTGTTGCGGTCCGGTGACGGCGAAGCTACCAGTGACGACGTCTTGGTCCCTTCCCCTGGGCACCCTCAGACGGCGACTCCTAGGAGACTAATTACCACGGTAGGTAGTAACTCCTCCTTGCGGTGATCCGGCGAAAAAAAAAAATCTCGCCCAGTGTTACGACGGAAGCCGCCGGCACAGTGGCGGCATGTAGGAGGTTCTTTTTATGTCTTTACAGCCGGCAATATACAGGAGGGGGTTGTCCGGGTGCTCGCGTGCCGTCGGCGGGCTAGCCCGCCAGTTATGTTGGAGATCTTCCACGAGACAGTTGTCATGGGTCGTTTCTGGACTTCCACGAGTGGTTGCGTTGAAGTGACGGGCAGGAGTAAGTGTGACAGGCCTCCGAATGGATGACCTGTGCACAAACACGAGAACTGTGACTGTTTCACATTAACTGCAATGCTTTGTGCAAGGCAAGGCACCATTTTGTACGACGTGCCAACACGGTGGTTTTCCTGTGGTCTGTGAATTCTGTCTCTTTTTGTAATCGTTTAAAGGCGCTATAACAAGGACAGCAAAGGAAGAGAAGACAGCACGTCTGCAAATGCTGCCTTCTATTCACCTGTTACCCTTGCTATAGTGCAGTAAACCATTACAATATGAACGTCAACCATCTAGCCCAACTTTGTGCGCTTCTGAAATTCTCTCCTTTTGATGAGTCAATACTCGTTACGAAACTGTTGTTTAATTGAAGCCCACCACTCATTCTATATGCTTGTTTAAAGTAAATCAGTACAGACGGTATTCCTGCTGGTATTTGCATTTTAACCACCTTACGGCCAACTCGATGAGCCTTAGTTTCACAATGTAGTACATTACTATTGTGGCTGTTTCATTTGAATTCACGTTTTGTTGGACTTCACTTTTCAGCCTGTCAAGTCTCTATTTATACAGAGTTTATCAAAGGCATCACGAGACTAAGAAGAAGCCAGCAAAGTAGTATTTCATTCTGAACCATGTGTGATAAGATAATGTGCACATTGTTTTGCTTGAATCTGAAACTATTGCTTTCTACATATGGAAATTGCCATAGGGGCGTTACTTGTGAAAGTAAACGCACGGTGCTGGAGCACTACAAGAAACTCGTGCAATTGCACCAATTGTTAGTAAACTTGCCCCTTGCATTGCGTTAGCTATGTCCTTAGATGAAAATCTATTGTCCATGCTCAGCTGCATGCTATTTCTTCGTAATATGTACTGCTCTTGATTAGTTGCTTGCTGTGTTGTTTATTTACTCGAATAACTGAGCATACAGTGTTGCTTTTGAGTTTGTTTTTTTCATGCTGTGTAATGGAGTGTCATTTTGCTGTCACGTTAGCTCTCACATTAATTGACAGTGTTGCGTTTTACTTTGCGGTGACAGAAAGAATGAAACAACGTGCTTGCAGGTTACAGAATGTCGGACGCACTTGCGGAGCCAAAACTGCTTCGCATCCACCACAACGGTTCGACGCCACCGCCGCACACAACTGCTTCGGTCACCAACTCGGAGATACAGGAAAAGAACAAGAAGTTCACGGTATGCCACAAATCTGCACAGTTTTGCTTGCTTACCATGAAAACACTGACATTGTAAACCGTGATTGTGAGCATCTTTGAAAAGTACCGTATCATGTAATGCGTGCTTATGCCAAGTTAAACATGAACAGCACAGAGCACACACCTGAAGGCTTATACTGCCTGGAAGTTATGGTAGCCGATTGGTTTTCAGCATCATGTTTAAGGAAGCTTGCAAAAATCTCCACTGCACTTTAGCAACTGTGATGTCATGCTTAGGGGCAACCTACATATAATCTAGACCTAGCCGGTGTGATAAAGCGTTTTCATCTGATTCGTAGGTTACAGCAGCAGTTGGTTTTCCGTTGTAACATAACTAATCAGCTTAGCCTGCAATTGCTAGGAGATGTGAAATTACGACGTTGTTTAGAGACCATCTCTACAATCTGTCTGAAAAAAAAAAAAAATTGTGTGTCTCTGATTTGTTGACAAAACAATTGAATACATTTGCTCTTGGAAACTAAAACATTGTTATATCACTGCTAAGTGCAGACGTAATGAATTATTATGTTTAACAGAGTAAAACATAAATTTTAACTAATATCAGATAGCAATGTACTTATAAATATAATACAAATGAAATGAAAAAAATATTTCATATGAGAATGACATTGCAGTGCTGAATGTAGAGATCCACAAGTTTTAACTGTACGTGCTTTAGATTTGTGCATGTGGCATAATTTTTTGCTTGGTGCAACAAGACTGCTACCTCACTTTCTATTAATGGATTTGGCTTGCGTTTTTCTGCTTCTGGTTTTATTGCTTGAGCAGGCGTATTTTATTGCAGGCGTAGTTATTGTGCATATTTTATTGGAAAGGAATGCAAAACGCCTCCAATCTTTATGAATGTTTCAGTGTTTTGAGTTAGTGACCGTGCTGTCATCAGTGGAATGCCAAGATACCCTCCACTGCTAAATCTGGAAAAGAATTTTCTTTAAATGGAGCCTGGAGGTTCTGGGAAAACATGTTTCATTTGACGATAGTTACATTTGCGCAAACTAGCTTTGAAATCATTGCCGTGCTTTATGGCTAATGAAAACGGCACACTGACAAAGGAAATCGAAGAACGGGCGTGACACAGCCGCAGTGTGCCATTTTTATTGGCTGTGAACCGATACCAATTTGTTCAGTTTTCTATCGTCTTTGTTGTTTTCTAATTTGTCGTACTGGTTCACACTAGCTTAATTTTAAGTGTATTTTCAACCTCCCAATACTTGCGTGTTTACAGGTGTACAAGGTTGTTGTGACTGTAGACGGGCATTCGTGGTTTGTGCTCCGGAGGTACAATGACTTCAGCAAGCTTCTGGACATTGTAAGTCCCCACGCCTTGCTACTGCTGCCTTGCTTTCTGTTTATTATTGTTAGTGTCCTCATAAACGTAGTTCAGTCAGCTGGAATCGAGGATTATGTAGAAGCTGCACCAAAAGAGGTAAAAATGCGTGCAGGATATATAGAACTGGACATTTCGTTTAAAGGGGTCCAACTTATATTGAGTGGAATGCAGTGAGCCATGAGAAAAGAGACAGGTGCAACCTTGAGGGATAAGAAGAGCAGAGTAGGTCAGAAAACGAGCGGATTTTAAGGACGTCTTAGTCCAAATGAAGAAATAGGCATGAGCAGGGCATGCAACACGTATACAAGAGAGCCGCTGGTCATTAGGAGTAACAGGCTATATTTCTAGAGAAGGTAAGCATGTGAGAGGTAGGCAGCAAGTTAGGTAGGCAGATGATATTAAGAAGTTTGCAAATAACATTGCCGCATCAAGCACAGGACCAGGTTGGTTGGTGATATATCAGGCGCTTTCCCTGCAGCGGATGTAGTCGGGCTGATGATGGGCTTTGAACAATGTGATGTAGTTATTGGCTTCTATCAAAAGGGTGACCTAGCTCATGGTAAACTCAATAAAATTACTGCTGCATTGACACCTGTTCGTAAAAGGAGCGTATATTTTTTGCGTAAATTTAGCAGTTATCGGTATCGAATTGGTAAACATTCTTATCAAATCAATTTAGCTTTATTATAAAGGAATGAACACCTCGCTAAACTTGCAGAGTTAGGCAGCTTAATGAGATGGGTACCCCTACTGGAGGCATTCCTGGTCAGCAGTTGTGCAAATACAAGATATGTAAAAAAGATAATACAAGTACCGTTTAAAAAAATTGCTGGTAGACTAAATTAGAAACCACCATGATTCTTTGAAACATGAAACAGAGTCCAAGACGCACAAAAGATTAACACAAAGGTGCGAATTATAGCTGTTGTGCCATTGTTCATGATTTTGCATCACCGTTTCATTTGCCTCGTATCTCAGCGAGTTTTCACTAGGGTCTGTATTGTAATTTCAAGCAAGCCATGTTAATCTTGTGGGTGATGTTAATCAGAGTAATACTCTTAACAGTTCTGTGCAATATTTGGCTAGAAAGTTAAGGGTAGCTGGCCGCAGGTGTTGACTTTCTTGATACACTTTGCCCTATGCCTCAATTGCTCTTGCTAATTTTCTTTTACAATAGCGTGCTTTCTCTGTCTTGAGGCATTTGGGTTAGCATGTCTTATAGGTCAGTAGTGAATCACGAAGACGTCATGAATCACAGTTGTCACGAGTGTTGCTACTCCTCTGGTAATTAATTTTGACTGTGTGGTTTTCATTAATGAAGAATGAAACCCATATTATCGCCAGAACTGGCGGTCACACAGTATTGCAAACTGTTAAGTGAGCCTTTCCAGTCGTTTGATCCTTTAGAAATGCAAATTAATATATTTCTTTTTTATGTGTGGATTGCTGCCCAATAACAAATTTAAGTTATTTTTCTGGCAGTCTTTTTGGTGTAAAGCAGCAAAGTGACTCTTGTTGTACATCTTTTATGTTAGCTGCAATGTTCCTATAATCTATTACAATTTAAGAAAAAAAATGTAGAACCCGCAGAACCACGACGTACTTGCCCTAACTACGGAGGGCAGTCATGCTTGCTGTATTCTGCTCGAATTATAAGTACCGTTTCTCAACTATTGTAAATACCGCGCCTTTAAGAGTTAAGGGTTCGTTGTTTCTACATAAAACATTACGTTTGGCTGAACAGCAATGTCGGAGTCCCTGAAAAAATTTTCTAGGTTGCTCGAGTTTTCAATCTAAAATGAGAGACATAAATGTGTGTCTGTATGTTAATGCCGACTGTCTCAAACACTTGAGAGGTGCCTGATGTCATGAAAATGAGTAAGCGCTGTTCGATTGAGCATTCATGCAAATCCTCTGTGGGGCAAACAGTGATGACTGTGGGCGGAGACGGTATCGTTTCTTAGGTTGTATCTGCCTATAGTAAACTAAATATCATATTTTTAGTATGAGAGCAATCATCCAAGTGTTACATAGGAAACACTCCTTTTAGATCAAGAAGCAGTTTCCTGGCTGCCATCTCAAGCTTCCCGGCAAGAAGCTCTTCGGGAACAACTTTAGCCCCGACTTCATCCGGAGTCGGCGTCAAGGACTGGACGAGTTCATCCAGAAGCTTGTCACGGACGAGAAGCTGATGCAGAAGTGAGTTAACGGGCACTGCCGTTAACAGACAGTCTTAGTTTGTTTGTAAACTTAATGGCAGAAAGCGAGACCGCAAACAACTAGAGACCGTAAATGCAAACATCTGGGACAGCAAAGCTCAAACGAACGAAGAAAGCCATTATTGGAGTAACAAGGAGTACGCTGCTTTGCCGCTTGTGTAAATTTGATTTAGTGGTGTCATAGTGAACAGGTTGCCCTTGTAGACGTCTTGCCCTTTTATTAAGCCAGGAACACTTCAAACACATGCGCAATGAAGTGCTATTGTAGTTAGATGAAGTGTCGTGAGGTGTCATAACGGTGCTCTGTAAAACCATTACTGCATTAATTCCCTAGCAAATACCAGTATGCAGGGCTCACCAAAGCTCTCTAAAAGCATGTGCCAGGCAGCCCTGCCGTGTACATTGCTAGCCTTGAAACACTGCCAGGTGGAGTTGGGAGAGAAGGGTTTCAAGAATGTTGCTTGCCCCAAAAATTGTGCAGTCACGTGGAATATGGATTAAAGATTATAAAACATATCTAAATGAAAGATTAACATACCTTTACATGGACAAGTCGCTGTATGTTTTTAGGCACTGTTACACTAGTTATTTTCATCACTTAAAAGAAGTATTTCAGTTTAGCTATCTTTAATAGGCTTGGATAATCATTTCAAGTTTGAAACGTCATTGAAACATTTGAAATTCTTAACATGTTCTTTTGTAATGGGCTCTTAGAGGACCTGAAAATGCAGAAGCTTTCCATCTTCAGAATAATGAAGTCTTTGGTGAGCAGCATTGGTATGTGAATGAGGATTTATCAGAATGAAAGAAATGGGTGTAGAAAAAAAGATTGGAGTAGACATTGTTTAACCAGAACCTGAAGGAACCAGGAATATACAGAGGAACCTTGATCATACGACTTTCACGGTACCACACAAAGCCGTCGTGTAATCCGGGCATCTCATAATCGAAAAACTAAGCATACAGGCGCTGACAATCAGCCTTGCACAAAAAACTGGTACAGACTGCCTGAGTAAGCCCATGACACGACCCTTGTGTTTTTCCAAGGAAGGCACATAAAATTATTTTTGCCCACGACATCATTACTTGGTTGAAGCAGGCACGAGCGAATCTTTATTGTCAACTTAAAGAAAAAAAAAACGCAAGGCCAATGCCACTTTTCTCCCGATAAATTGAGTCCGATAATTGCTTGCGCTTAAAAACAAAACTGAAGCACCGTTGCCAACAGCCTCCTGTCAGATGAGTTAGACACAGTGTCATCGCCATCACGTAATGGTGATGGACCGCAAGTTTCACGAGGTTGCGTAGAATGCCTTCGGGCTCGACTGAGCTCTGCGCATTCTAAATTGTTGCCTTGTGAAGCACAACTAGTGATGTCCCGCTGTTATAATGAATGTTGACGTCAAGTGAAAGTTGTTTTGCACAGTGAAAAGAAGCTGCATCACGCCCTTTTGCATGCTCAAGCTCGCGACTGCGAGTGTCACAAGTCAAAGCAGTAGAATCAGCGGTACGTCGACCAGTTTCCACTGACCAAAAAACGTGAAAATATCAGAGCCTCAGATAATAGTTTTTCAGCCAACTCTGGATGGAGCTTCTCTAGGTAACGACCCTGCATACGCACGAGATTGAGGCGTACGCATAAGTGTATGATCGGCCAGGAAAATAAATTTTTCATTCTAAGACATTCTGTCTCAATCTGTACTTCTCTATTTATCAATCTAGGGGAACGCAAGCTCATATTTTGCTCTCGTTAGCATTTGGTTGATGTTCGATGCGAGCAGATGTGCGCTTTTCATTTCGGACGGAATCGTGAAAGTTGTCAGATATGAGGTCGGCGCAAAGACTGTGTCGTATAACCAAGGTTTTTAATACAATATCGCTAAGGAATTTTTCCTGGAGCGAACCAATTCCGTCGTGAAATCGCGGGTCGTAACGAGGCGGGGGACATCTATATAATAAATGTTCTACTGTATGTTCTATTTAACAGACGTGTTTACAGAGGTGCAGAGTGCAAGTACGAAACCAATCATATCGGAGGCAATTGTGCCATTTAAGCGGCAATTTCATTTAAAGAAATTTCCGTTTAGTGCGAGTCTACTGTAGTAAAGTCAGCATTCGTTAGCAGTGAGCTTGTGTTCTTGCCGAATTGTTTATTTCTAGAAGACTGACTCACACGCGCGCTATCACCGATTGCTCAGCATTTTGTTATCGCGACCTGTAGTGGTGCCAAGGTGTCTGGATACTCAAGGATTTCTTGCTGGCCGCCTGCCATATCTTTCCAGCCAAGACGTCAGGGCCTTTCTCAATGTTGACAAGAACTTGAGCATCAAAGAAGCGGCCGAGGAAGAGGAGAACAATGGTCAAGGTGCCGAGGCTCCTGAACCGGTACATTGTCAGAGTGCCTTTATACTGGACGAATTATCAAACAGTTGCCATCGCCGAGTGGCTATGATCCTAGAGTTATGAACCTATTGTAAAGGCTTTAAGAGACACAAAAAAAAAATAAGGATGTTTTTCTTATTAGTAAATTACTTTTTTTTGCAATACCGAAATATCACATTTGCTGCGAGGAGGCTTTTAAGAAGCGAGAAAATTTGTGGAAGGAAAATGTGGGTTGAGATGCCACATTGAAGTACCCACGCCAATAGAAATGATATTTTGACCTTGATTTTCTGTCCTGTTAGTGAATCTATGGTGGTGAAATTAACAACAGTCTAGCTATAAGAGTGTAAATAATAATTTTAAGCTGGCTTAGTGTATCACTTTGGTGCCCCTCAAAAAAAAAAAAAAAAATAATGAGACTGGCTTTTTTATTGGGTCGTTTTGGTCGGTGTACTTACTCGCATGTGACCAGGCTAACCATTGGCTAGCACTGGGCTGTCCGTCCATTATGAGTTCAGTTGCTTAAATGGACCGACAACCAATTTTTATGGTGCCGTACGTCTAACCATGGAATTGTTACATGAAAAACACCATGACGCATCTGCCCTCGTACCTCATTATGACAGTCACAGCTGTCACGAAAATACTTTGTTATATCTGAAAATTCGTTATAAACGTGTATTCGTAGCGCTCTATCAATGGCAAAACTGTTATTCACTTACTTTCTTTATAACTGATCATTCCTTACATCCATGGTCATTATATCACAGTTTGAGTGTATACTAACAATTTTTCTATCTGCGGTGACTATGGAGTAGTAAACTCAGCACATGGTGCAAACAGTGGGGGCTGAGTGTGAGAACGACAGCTGGTGTTTGTGTGTAGAGGTTTCCTACGCATGCGTGCATTGTGCCAGCATGCGCTGCTGCTCGGCATCTTCCACTAACCCTTGCGAAGGAAGCGGCACTTGTCAGTGTGCAGCTTCTTTTACTTTGTAAGCAGCGCAGAATAGAGTGGGAACGGGCTGTAACAAACACACTTAAATTTTGAGCGCCAATCATGGTGCGCATGGAGGCACGAGACCATGTACAGCAATGTGAGTGACGCCATAATCAGGCTTCTTGGCTCTTCCACCAGGCTGTGCAATGTACTGCTTTTCTGAGAGAGATGAACACAATTTAAAGTTAGAAATCTTGCTCGATTGCTAGGAGTGCACTAGAATCTGTCTCTATAATTGACGGTCTTTTCCTTTTCACGAGGATATAATCACACGTTCTGGCCGATCATTCTTTAACCTTTAAGTTGTCTGCGACATATTTCTTTCCTTGCAGGTTGACCTTGGCTCGACAGAAAAACCACAGTAAGCATCTGCTTTCGTTGCTCTTGCTGGATTTGGATTGAGCCGCTGACCTAACGTTGCGTTTGCTTCCTCTCCAGTGTAAAGCCGAGTGATTTCGAGTTCCTCAAAGTGATCGGCAAAGGCAGCTTTGGACGAGTATTGTTAGCGAGGCACAAAGTGGAGAAGCAGTTTTATGCTATTAAGGTAAAGTGTTGTGAAATTTTATATGTCCTTAAGGTCGCACCTATCGTTTTCCTTTTGAAAATTTTCAAGTAGACAGGGCGTAACGCCTGCTGTGGATGCTCCTTCATCTTGTCCCATCCAGGTGCTGCAGAAGAAGATGATCCTCAAGCGTAATGAGCGCAATCACATAATGTCCGAACGGAACGTGCTCCTGAAGAACCTGGACCACCCGTTCCTCGTGGGGCTGCACTACTCCTTCCAGACGCCCGTCAAACTCTACTTCGTCCTGGACTACGTCAATGGCGGAGAGGTGGGCCCACCCTTCTGCACTGATTCTCATAGCAATGACATTGGTCCTGTGCGGCTAAACGAGATAGCCGTCACATTTTGGCACGTACGTGCATGTGGTGAGATGAGCAAACATCAACAAACATTATAAGGGCATTAAAGAGGAAACTGATTCAAATTGTGTAACCAAAATTACCGCCATACTTGAAACTTTTGCCATGAGAGCACGCTTCGCGAGGCTAAAAACGCAGAAGGAAAGAATACAGGTGACGACAGTGCCATGAAATTCCTGTGCCAACTCGCCGTGACACCACAGACTTCAACAACATCCGTAAGGGCCTGCATAATGTTTTTTTAGTAACAATCGATTACATTGTGAGCCTAGAGAGCTAGACACTTATTAAAGCAAGCGCCGGTAAATTTTGAGTCGATTTGCCCAGAGACATGAAAAATGCCTTAAAATGCATGATGCCGCACTGATATTCCAATGTTGGAATTTTGGTGTGAAGTTCAGTAATGGAAACTTTGGCCTTCGTTTTACTTCGGAAAAGTTAACTTATCATAGTGAAATTACCAGCAATAGAGTACCCGGAGAGTAATGTATTAGTCTGAACAGATTCGCTGTTTTAGTTCAATGTTCTAATCTTTTCAAACAGCCGTTGAATCAATTACAAAACAAACAGAAGAATTATTTTATTTACTTTTTATGTTGGTAGCATGCGGTCATAGCGTTCCTGCTGGCTTCCATTGCTTAGTACATGCATTAAGGCTAGAGGCCTAGGTTGTTCTTTCTTTCTTCTCTTCCTCATTGAAGTTCTCCAACTTGTGTTTTGTTGTTATCATTATATACTCACTGGACAACACTGAGTAGCCTTTTAGCTCATATGTTATACTTCTAATGTATTGAAAACATATCTTGTGGAGGACTTTTCTTTTCAAAAACCACTTCACTACAGAAACGGAAAGTTTCTGTGAAAACTAGGCCTGTGCGAATATTTGAGTACTTCAAATATTGATTGCTTTATTTGATACGTCACAGTAAAGTGTAACAGGAGGCGGAGGGAAACACCGTAATGACAGCTCGAGGGATCCTTCGTCCCCTTTGTGAACAATGGCAGCAGCTGAAGGGAATCACAAATAATTGCAATATCATATACCTCGTACATATTCAAATGCGTAGTAGAACATAATTGCTCTCTTTTCTCGGCAAATGACTCCACAAGCTCAAAAAACACGTGTCACATATTTTCTTTTCCCGATGCCGTTTTTCCCTGCTTAGCTTCCAGTGTTTTCGTCAAGACGAAAAGAATGCACTTGCAGCGTGTGACAAATCTTCGCAACTTCACTTGTACTGGACAGATTCAAAAAATTTTTTGTGGCGGTGAATTCATGATGCAATAAGCTTCTTTAGTGAATCCATTTTATGACTACTTGAAAAAGTGTAGCAGGGCCCCTTTAAATTAAAATAACAACCTAAAATCATTTATTTTAGTAAGCTTGTCATGACTGCTTTTAAGCTCTAAGTATAAAAATTTTTTAAATGTTGCGTATTTTATGGGTTGCGACTCGCATCTTGCCGAAAGTCAAATTCTGCAATCCTGCTACTACTCGAAGTTGTATAAACTTCCTTTGAGGGAAAAAAAAGTGATTTGCATAGAGGTCCTATTTCAATAAAAAAAAAAAGATATTGTGCAGGTTAGTTACAGCCTTAATAAATATGCCCATTTTTCTTTATATGTTATATATACTATTCGAACTCGATTCGAAATTATTTGACTAATATCACTATTGGCTTCGAACTTAAAATTTACTATTCGCACAAGCCCCGCCGCGGTGGTCTATTGGCAAAGGTACTTGGCTGCTGACCCGCTGGTCGCGGGATCGAATCCCGGCTGCGGTGGCTGCATTTCCAGCGGAGGCAGAAATGTTGTGGGCCCTTGTGCTCAGATTTGGGTGCACGTTAAAGAACCCCAGGTGGTCGAAATTTCCGGAGCCCTCCACTACGGCGTCTCTCATAATCATATGGTGGTTTTGGGACGTTAAACCACCCATATCTATCTACTATTCGCATAAGCCTAGTAAAAACAGTTCTTGCATGGCTTTGTTATCTGCTGTGTGTGTTTTAGTATAGTTACATTTTATTGGTGCTGTATGTATGTTTGCTTTCGTCTAACTTTGGTAAGGAAGCAGGTTCTGAAATGCAGCTCTTCTTTGTTCCAGCTCTTCTTTCACCTTCAAAAGGAAAGAACATTTGCAGAGCCCAGAGCTCGATTTTATGCTGCCGAAATCACGAGTGCTCTTTCATACTTACATTCTCAAGGAATAGTGTACAGGTAAGAGAGGCAAGGATTGCCAGTAACCATTAATAGTTAGTTATTTGGTAGCCTCGCAGTTCATTGTTGGTAATTATCCATCTTATAGAGATCTGAAGCCGGAAAACATCCTGCTCGACGCACAGGTAAGTCCTTCCTCGCTCGTTATGATCGACAGACTAGAATGGTCTATTGTGGGAATTCCAAATTGCAACAAGCGTGAAATGTGTTGAAATTACTTTCGCAATATTCCCTTAGATAGCTTAGCTAATGGGGCTTGAGTACATTAACCAGTATTGAAATGCAGGTGAATTAAAATGTCTTGATGTGCATATAGAAGATGTGCTCAAGTCCTGAGCCTGGCCAAACTTGACCTAACCTTTGATGGGTTTTCTAAAGCTGTGCAGTCAGTCGATTTAATGGTAGCTAACTAGAATATGAGACAGTTTCAGAACAAGTTGCAATGTAAAGATTGTATGCAAATTAATTTGCTGATTACCAGTCTGAACTATTTCCTTCAAAACCATTAGTACTCGTTCATGTGAGTAAGTTTGTTAATGTGAAGCAAGCAGTGATTAGGTGGTTGTACACTCAACAAAGAAAGAGATTGCTAGCAGCATTCTTCTAGACGACAACTGATCTAAGTGCACCTTTTGTGACTTTCAGGGTCATGTCGTACTCACCGACTTTGGCCTCTGCAAAGAGGGTATCAGGGAAAAGGAGACCACGAACACATTCTGTGGAACACCTGAGGTTTGTTTCTTGCATATTCAGTAGACCAAGCCACTCTCCAATCACTTCAATCATTATTAGCCATCACTTGCCCGGTCTTCATGCTGCTTTGGCATGCCTCTGATGAGCTGGGACATTCCTTCATTGCCTTTGTTGCACTGTCGATCTGTGCTCCCAATGTGTGCATCTGCTTTATTAGCAGCCGCAGAGGGCAGCGATAGCATCACTGTGCGTTTGTTTTAATTGAGAAAGGTGGCAGCTTATAGTAGTAGTTTGTAATCTGTTGTGCGTAAGGGAACGGTGCAGACAGGGTTGAATGCTCTTATCTGTCTGTGTTGTCCTGTCATTTATACTTTGTGCGATATCCCTTAATAATATAGTAAAGCAATGGAATAGCAGTGAAATTTGCGTCATTGTGCCGGCATGTTTACTATAGCAGTTGTCTCTTTAGAGGTGCCCATAGTGCACAATGCAAAAAGATGGAAAACTGCCATCACATGTTGAATTATGTTATACAGCTCATTTCATTATGGGGGAAGTCAACTACATTAATCACCTCACTGCGAAATTGATAGGGAAGCTCTCATGTACCATGTTGAATGTGTCATGCCACAGTCTGTTCCATGCAGCTGAGCAGCAGCTAATATGGGCATCAGCAGGATGCTGTCTTGTAGGGGTCCAAACTGGAGTTTTATCTTGCAAGTAAGGGGTGGAGGGTGTAAAGTGGAGCGCCAGTGTGGCTTGGGTGTGGGCGTATGTGGCTTAGGGGGGTGCAACCGCCCCTTGTGCACGCACCTGCCAATGCCCATGGCAGCTAAGTGCAATAGCTACCACAATTTCTGTGCAGTACCTGGCCCCGGAGGTCCTCCGGAAGGAAGCTTATGACCGCACAGTAGACTGGTGGTGCTTGGGAGCTGTGCTGTACGAAATGCTTTACGGCCTGGTGAGTGGTTAGAATGGTATTGCAAGATTCTGTGGCACTGCAGCTAGAACCATAGCTGCTGGTGTTGTGTATTTATTTCAGCTAATATTATGTGATTGATTTATACTTGACGATAGCTGTATTATTGTGGCAGGCATTTCAGTTTGCACTAGCACATTTAGCCTAGTTGGGGCAAAATCGTTAGTGCAATTCTGGGGCATGAGCCTAAGAAAACAGACAAGTGATCTTCTTCATTGCCATGTGTTCATTACCATGCACTTTAGACACTTGTAGTGCGAGCACAAAGGTACGTGCTGCAGCTGGATATCGTGAGTTGTTTACCTTTACTCAAGCTGTTAGGCATTCAGAGTGTTGACATAAGATCTTTAGAAATCGTGCCTAAAAACTTACATGCCTGGTCTGAAGTTACTAGCAGTTAAAACAGTCTTTCTTGACTGTCATGTTGCTGTTTGACAACACTGTTTCTTTTTATTGCCATTACGTTTGAAAAACGTTGCTATGTGTGCTATGCAGCCACCATTTTACAGCAGGGATACGGTGGAAATGTACGACAACATCCTCCACAAGCAGCTGCGACTGCGCACAAACATCTCTGCAGCGGCTCGAGACATTCTCGAAAAGGTGAGCGAGTGCATTTTTGTGCTCTGGCACAAGTCACATTGTTCCAGATACTCTGTGCTCCATTTCTGGCCCGAGACAGGATGAAGACTGTGTAACTTGAATATGTCGACAAGTGACTTCAACATGTCCAGCAGCTCCTGTCTCGTTTGTCATCCACAGCCTTTTTGCAGCACACTCTCAGACTCTGTGCTCTCATGTATGCACTTATGTAAGTGGAGTAAATGAGGAACAGGGCGAAAATAAACTACGTGCGAAAAAGGTACCTATGGATTGAAACGTGACATCAAAATTTTTAGGGCAACTGCTATGAGCTTGTCCTGGCATGCTTCTGATAATTGTGTTATGTTGTTGCTAATATGGCTGCTAAAGGTGACTTTTGCTCGGAGGCAAGCGTTTGAGTAGACGTTGGACCGATGTGACAGAAACTGTAATGCTGAAAACTGAAGCATGTGCACGACTTAGCTCTAAATTATTATGTTTCGGTCTACGACTACTCTACATATTCAAAATGGTAATGCATCACACTGCACTCCTGTACGTCATTTCATACATATAAAAGGCAACGTTAAAAAAAATGCCCCCACCTCCCCGAAGGGAATCTTGAGGAAATGGGAATGCATTGCGTAGCGTCTGTAACGGCGTTTCGCACGTGAGAACCCAGCGTTAAAGGAATATATATATATATTTTTTGCAACCATGCAGCCGATAGCGTCGTTCGCTGCACGTGGAAGTTTTTCTGTCGCGAGAAACGCGATATGCGTTTCCAGCTCTAGTAGCCAGTGTGCACGGTTAAAAATGCTATAAAGTGGACCAAGCAAACAGCGTTCTCGGCTCGGCACTTCACAGCGGCATCTCGAGCGCACATTTCCGGATGTTCTTGAGAGACGCCCAGCCAGCGAACGTTCAAGAGAGACACGAGCAGACGGGAAAGTGGGGCGCAGCTAGGAGAAAGAGCGAACGGCGAGGAAAGCAGCAGCGAAGCACTGCACCTACCCTCTCTCGAGAAATTTGCTTTGAGGCTTTAGAAATTTTGCTTTGTGGTAGTATTTGACTTATCTAGCGTTTGAAAGTTTTGTATCCAATATTTCATATCTTGTATACATATGCAGCCATTTTAGCCTTGGTGCGCCAAGTGCCCGCCACGAGTATTACATTAATGCTAAATGCCATTCTGTTTTTTTTATGCATTCAGCTCTTGCAGAAAGAGAAGCGGTTGCGCCTGGGTAACACTGATGACGGCAACGAGGTGAAGCGACACGACTTCTTCAACCCGATCAACTGGCAGGACTTGGAAGCCAAGCGAATACCTCCACCATACAAGCCGAGCCTGGTTGGTTTTCATTGCGTTGATTTCTCTTTTGTTCATTCAATGATCACGTCTGTTATTTTGTGCAGTAAATGCTTTCAATACTGGTTGACACTGTAAACGTGTGTTCTCACATTTTTTTTCTTTTTTTGCAGTCTGGAATAATGGACATGAAAAACATAGATCCCGATTTTGTCAAGGAACCAATTCCTGGTAAGCTTTCACATGCCTCATTGTAGATACCAAGAAAAGTTGTTCTTAATGCAGCAAAGCTTGCAGTTATTGTTGATAATGCACCTACTCAGCAGCTTGCACCTATAGTTGGCATATGGTAAACAACCGTAGTTTTCATTCTGTGCACTGGCAATAGTGTTTGGTCTGAAAGCCGTGCACTTATGCAGACACACACACACACACTACCTTGCATTACTACACTGTAAATCTGTGTATATTCATGTGTCTTCGGTCTTGAAAGTTGTAGGTTTGATTTTCTAGCATGACAGCCACCTTTCAACGACAGAACGCCAGTCTTGTAATTTGCCATGTATTAAGGTGGACATTGAAGAACTCCAAACAGTCAATTTTGACCTTTAATTCTACACTACACTGCACCTTGGAAAGGTAAACAGTATAAATGATCATGTCGAAATCTGATGCTGTAGGCAATTTTTCTACACAAAATTTACAAGAAAGCAATAACACATGGGAAACACAAGCTCCACTGGAGTTGTGGGTTCATTAACAAAATGTGGGAATTTCATACTTTCAGCTTCCGTCGGCAAGTCTCAAACGCTCAGCGCGAGCGTCCAAGATGCGGACACGGCGTTCATTGGTTTCTCGTACGCGCCTCCGCTGGACATCAATGCCTCCTGAAGCAGAGTCGTGCGTGCAAGGCTTCCAGGGACTCGTCTTCGACGAACGAAATTCCCACTGTTGTGCTTTGCAGTGCCTTTCCCTTGCGTTTTGTCGCGTTTGCGTCAATATTTGTTCACAAACGTGCACCGCCACATTGCCTGGTGTGCCCGTCTTTGCCCGACTGCCACGAAATACTGCTGCCTGTTCTTGCAATACTTAACGTCGTAGCATCAAATACACGCAAAAATAGCGAAGGGTCGGTAGTGTTTATCCCGCGGACTGCGAAGTGCAGTGCTATCAGCAGCCGGTTGCTATCAGTCCTGCTCGAACGTATAATCCCAAGTGCTTTCCCAGCTTTAGGGGAGCTGTGTTTTGCAGGCCCAGAAAAACATGATGCATCATTCTGCTGCCAACGCCTTTCTCTCTTTTACGTAATGCATCAGGTCAGAAAGGATGTCGAGCTTGTTTCTTATGCCTTCCTTCCCTGTGCCACATTGATGTTCATGTTGTCACCATGTTCCTGTCATACTCAAGGCTTCAAGAAAAGCGTTTCGTTGCTGCTTTGTTCAATAGAGCGACCGACTGTTCGCATCTATTTAGGTATTGATTGCAGTGTGCATACGGGTGTGCAGTTGGTTCATGCATAATGCAGCTTTTGAACATTTGAGAAAGCGCAAGTTTGTCACGACGCGATATTGAGTGATGAAAAAAAGGCCAAGATGTCCTTCCCTCTTCCATGCCACGTGGCTCTCGCATCACTTATTTGAGTCATACTTGTATTTTTTGTTGTTGTTACATTTCATTTTGCATCACATCTGTCAAAGTACTATGTCAACCAAGTGTCGAGATATTCCCCAGAATCTGATTAACCAGGAGGCGAAGAACTGCCATGTTTCCACGCAACATTTGGAAACACTTACCTTTGAAGCTGTGATTACTATGTCAGTCTTGAGGGCTGGCTGTCTGGCGATCTGTACTTTAAGGACCAACGAATTTTTTACCGAACTGACCAAAATTGTTGGGGACCAGCAACGTCTGCCTTGCGCGGCCTGTCTGCACGCAGCCGTGCTTATGCTAGTGATCTATTTCCTTAGAGCCTTGGCTAGTCTTCCATACACTTACGGAGTTTTGCATCGACCGTTGTATGCAAAGACACGAGCTTTTGTTAATTTGAGTATATTCTTTGTGTGTTGAGAGTGAATTTGTTTTTACATTGTGCTCTTGCGAGGGTATGTCCTGACATCCACCGATACATATGGTGGTAATACTACCTGAATTTGCCGGGCCTATGATGTCTGCCTGAAACACATTGGGTGAATTTTGCTGCAGTGTTTTGAGGATACTGTTAGCTTTGTGCAACATTGTGTGCCCATGGTAAATTGAAGCTTCCTGAATTGTTCCAAATTTATTTCGTAAATAATCACAACAGTCTTTTGGATGGCGAGCTAACTAGAGTTTGTCGTCCAACCAAACTTTCTGGAAAAGCCTTGGAAGGCGAGCAATTTTTGCTACGAAATGCCTGTGCATCACTTGGAAGCAGTTTACGAATTCATGGCGCAGGTTATTGCCAACGCGTAAAGTTGCGGAAGACTGTACCTGTTCGGCTTGACACAAATTTTTAGACTTTTCTTCGTGGCATGCACTTGTAACAGCGCTCGAAAGGCAAGTAAGACAAGAACCGATGAAATGCACAGGTCAGTTGATGAAATTTTCGTCTTTCAAACTTATGCATATTGACAATTCGATTCAAGATATATTTTAAGCGATGGATTAGCTGCGCAATCTTTTTAATCAATGCAGTCAGGAAGGCTTTATTACCACCAATGAGCAATCTAGTATGCACACGAATCTTCTTGCTGCCTCAGACGCTGCTTCAAGCTGTCGAGATAGCGCATGCTGTGCCTTACATTCTTATCAAGTATGCGGAAAGAGTGCCATATTTGGTTGCAGTTGTGTTTTTGTTGTGCTGTGTCGAGAGAAAACACTTTTGTACAGTTATTTGATACTATGATATTATGTAAACAACCTATATACTGCTGGCAACTTGTTTTTCTGTGAAGTATTTTGTTGTTTTTACATGATTATTAAAATGTTTTGAATTTCGGTCAGCACAAGTTTTGTCCAATCGGACGGTTTATTTGATTACGCATGTTTTGCCAGGTAGATTTGCGACAAATACGTTTCACTTTTTGACCCTTGGCTTGAGTTCCTCGAAGCAGGAGTGCAGGAAAATATAGTTCTTCTTCTGAGGGTTGTGAAATTCGTGGCCCTAGAAAGAAAAGAACATACGTGCTATGGCTTGCAATGAGCAAATGCACAGCTGGTTTGGAACGGCAAGGGTGAGCTGGTTTTGTTGGCATTCGCCATAAAAGCAGGAAAGGGGGGGTGCAGACACGGATGCACGAAAAGAGAACCAACATTAGTGTTTCCGGGTTTGCATATTTTCCATGATGCATATTTAGTGCACTTGAAATATGCATCGAATACATATAAAACATTAGATTTACTGCCGTTGCCATGAATTTTCAATTCGAGGGACTCTGTGCAAAGATTTATCTGGTTTCCCACAAACTTGGAAGTAGCATTATGCCAAACTTCCACAATCGCCTCCAAGTCTTGCACGCCAGCCAGCAGTACAAGACTCGAGTTTCTGTGAAGATGAACAGCATGCCTGCATTGATTACATGAAAACCTGCGCCGCGGGCAGTACGGAAAGTTTGAAGAGGTGCTTCTCGTAGGCTGATCAGTAGCTACGAGACCCGCAGTATTTGTGATATGCCCGATATTGCTGACCACTTTAGTGGAGATTTTTTTTTTAAATTCTTTTACCAACTTTACCAAAGCCCCCAAAATATTTAAGAAAGCTAGGCAAAATAACCAGCTTCGCACAGCGTCAAATTTGAAGGTAAAAGTGCGTAAAATGGAACGTTACTGTACGAGTGTGAAATGCTTCTTGTCGGGTCTCCATTGTAAGTCTTAGTGCTATTAAACTATTTTCTGCTGAAGTATGCGTAGGGCGCACCAGTACAAGAAGCTGTAGTTTTAAGGCCTGCTGCTGTCGGGATGCGCTTCTCATCGAATGTTCATGGTTCCTTCAAGGTTCCATTTAAAAGTGCTGACTACAATTTTGTTCTGCTGTTAATTTTCTGAATGAGCCAATAGTATACTTAAAACCTAACTCCACTAAATTTAAGCTTAATTATTTATTTATTTTGAATGCTTCATCTCCAACCAGGAACTATGCCTAGGATCAAGAAGAGTGACTTGTGCAAAGCTTGCATTACTTCGAAAAGTCCGTGTATGAACCCACTACAAGCCTCCGTTCTGCAAAGTCCATAATATTCTATCTATACTCGATTATGCGACAGAGAAGCTGACAGGAGATTAAGGAAGCAAGAGGGAATGTCAATTACATTAAGGGATGATCTGAAAGAGGATCGTAAAAATGAAAAATTTTACATTCAGTACGTACGACGAGCAACATAATAAGATTTTGTTTCTGTAGCATAATATATTGCAAGTTGGTAATGCTTGGCAACAACTCTGGCTAAATTTGTTATAGCCCAATATCCTGTTATACAGAGATTGACCTGTAACTGTTTATGAACAACATAGCTAAGGTGAAAAATGTTTAACAGCAGTGAAACAGCAGGTTATGAAAGAAAGGAAAAATGTACAACCACCCACATTGTGGCACGAAGCCACAAGGAGGAGTAGTAGGTTATAATTACAATTAGTAGGTTATAATTATTTGCCACATGACAAGAACTGACCTTTGACCAGTCGTAGCTGACCGCATAGGCAAATATTTCACCCCGCGCGTTGAAGCAGCAGCGGGTGATGGGCTGCTCCATCTGTTCAGACGTCTTCAGCTTGGTGCGGGCATCCTTGTCCCAGAAGCTGAACTTGCCATCCGAGCCAACCGTTGCTAGCGTCATGTGAACGGGGTGGAATGCGATGTCATTGACCTGTTAACAGCAGCAAAAGAAAAAACACTCTTTAAATGTCTTTAGCTGAAACCACGGGAATCGATGTTAGGCAAAGCACTTTGCGGGTGTAGCTGGCTAACTAGCAATGTTCGGGTTTCTGCAAGCATTACCAGATAAGACTAAAAACAATTCTTTAAAGTAGTAGATATTCCTGCTTGACACAATTGCATGTGTGATAACAGCAGCAAATTCTTGAAGACGGTATGGTGATTGTATGATAACTGGTTTGCCATACTATGATAGTTATGCAGGGTATGACAACTAATTTAACACACTCCAGCATACACACTCTGTTGCAATTCGATACATTATCAAGTTGGTGTAACATCGAAATAATGGGTATTTTACAAGCAGCAAGTTCTTGAAGACGGTATGGTGATGTATGATAACTGGTTTGCCATACTATGATAGTTATGCAGGGTATGACAACTAATTTAACACACTCCAGCATACACACTCCGTTGCAACTCGAGACATTATGAAGTTGGTGTAACATCCAAATAATGGGTATTTTACAACTTAAACAGTGCATACTCCCTGATTATAACATGGACAATGTGAAAGATTAGGACAGTTGCCCTTCAACCAGCCATTATGACTACCTATAAGAGACGTACAGTCAGCGCCAAGTTTAGGGAGCACTAGACGAGAGAAAGTTCAATATTCCGGGTGCTTCGACAAGAAGCGTTGAATTTACATGTTGGGCCTGTTCTCATACGTTCTAACAACATGTGCTGTGCAGTTAAACCAAATACAGCCAGAATGTGCTGGTAAATTAGAATGCTCTCAGACCTAGTGGTCTCTGTGGATACCCGACTGTACCCATGTACTGACATCCGCATCAAAGATAAATGTCAAGTGTACTGCAAGTTTACCGCAAAGATCTCCTGGAAGCCATTTGTCGTGCCATTAGCTCGGTGACACTTGAACGTGAAGTTGTCCTTGGGATTCTGGGCGTTCACGTACTGAATGGCCACGCGTCCCTCAACGCTTCCGAGCGCGAAGCCATTGGGCTGAGCCTTTTTGTCTTGGAATATGGAAACACACCGATGCTGCAAAGAAAGGTGAAACGCAATATAGCACTTAGAAGCCGTCTGTTAATGAGGCAAAGTGTGTCCTGCTGAGGGTAGGCTGGTACGGAAAACATACAAGCATGTGGCGACACTCTTATTCGAGCTCATTAGCACCGAGTCCTATTTATACTTGCGCCAACTTTGTACATTCACTGTAGTACTTTCCTGAAGAGCCAAGAAAGTGCACTATATTGCAGTGTACAAACCTGGTACTTGAGCGGCGATTCAACCTTCTTGTACTCTTGGGGCTGGCCCTCGAGCTGGTAGATTATAATAGACCTGCCTGCCGTGCTGACGACAGCCATGGGGTACACCTGTGGGCAGAGTCAAAAGGCATGTGTTAGGGCACATTGAGAGGAGTTTGATAAAAGCTTGCCTGGTTTTGGGATCGCGGCTTTGTTACTCAAAAACATCGGCCTTAACTATACAACATTGCCGGAAGAAAGGACGAAGAAATAGCTTCAATAGTGTACTCACTACGTCAGCACAGTAGCAACGCTCCGGAAGGTTGATCGTGAGCATTGGCGTCGGTGTCCTCGTGTCCCAAAACTACAATGAAAGAGACAAACTTTTTTGAAAAATTTTAATTTCCAGAGACGGAGTATTTTAACCTCCCTCACAACATGCAAGCCAACGAATCCCAATACGAACCCTTCACTATTTCAGTTTGTTCCCGTGGTCTAAACTACTGGCAACAACAAACTACGGTCGGACATAATGGCGCCGCCTAGATGACCGAAGCATGGCCGTCGACTGCCTCCGCAACTAAAGAAATAGCCCTACTTGTGTACTCGGCAATATTCCTTGACAGTGGCATCGCCAATAGTGTGGTTCGTGGTGTCAGTCTAAGACAGGAGCACCAGCAATCCTTTGCCCCCCCCCCCACACATCTCCTGTGCTGATCACATTGCGCAGCGCCATCTGTCGAGGTGCATAGAAATCATTCAACACCTGCGCTCACGAATGCACCATGAACCGACTGGCAGTGATGACAGGTTGGTAGGTAAGCAGACGCAGCAACACGTGACTGTGCGCCATTGCTAAAGCAGCACAAGAAAAGACCACTGGTTTTTGCACTGCTCATGGACTGGTGCCTCTCTTTCACAGTGTTTCTCTATTCATAGCAGTATCTGGTGCACATGCCTGGAAGCAGAAACCAGTGTTGCACAATGCATCCCTTCCAGATCAGCAGAGTTGGCATTCCTGTTCCATCTTTCCCCGTTGTCTAGAGCAAGGGTCCTAAACAGGCAGCCCATCCTCCTGGCTTGCAAATGGCTGTCTTCATGGTACATACAAATAACATTTTCTTAAGTACGCTCATGAGCTACACAGACATGACTAGCCCCAAGAATGTTTTCCTGAGGCACCCCATGTGGTCACGACGTGCTAAACTAAAATTGTAGAACAATAACTTTGTTTCAGAAACTGTGTCCAGATTTCAGTCGTTCTTCAGATCTGTACCAATATTGGTCTTGAAATGAAGCCCGACATTTGGTGACATATAGGAAAGGCCTCCTTTCAAACGACACTGTTATCTGGCATATCAAACCGCTCATTAGTGCCTGCTGGTTTGCATCTATGCCATTTGAAGTGAAGACATCGTTGCCTTCTAAAGCCGCACGTGATTATAGCGAATTGCATAACGACTCCCACCTTGAGTGTCTTGTCCCAGCTTCCGGTCATGATGCAGCTGTAATTTGGGGCTTTCACCCAGTGCACTGTTTTCACCGGTGCATCGTGCTGCAAGAGAGTTCGCAGTTTTCAGCTGCAAAGTACCAGCACATTTAATGTGCAACGCACGCAATGCGCACAGACCTGTGCTATTGACATGGCCTGATTGCTGTTCAGATCCCACATCTTGACAGTTTTGTCGCAGGAGGCGGAGAAGACCTTGCTTCCATCCTGAGAGAAAAAAAAAGAAGAGAGAATCGGCTTGAGTCTTTGTGCAAGGCACTCATTTGCATGTTAATATGAATGCCAAAAGGGCAACAGACTAAAGTGAAACTTTTCAATTGCACCAAGACGTAGTTGCGAGGACAAAGACGCTATGCTTAAAACTATACTTAGTTTCATAAACGCCCTGGTTTTCCTTGTAGTGAAGTACAGATGTGAGTCATGACTCGCAGTTAAAAAAAAAAAAAGCTAACTTCTGAACTACAGTGCGCGCGTAGGGTCATCAGAATTTTGCTGATCACCAAATGAACCAATATAACCATTATAAAGAAGTGTTCTCGCAAAGTAAAGGCAATGAAACTAAATCTTCCATACACTTGTCATGTCCTGCGAGCTGCTAGTGCAATGATGCGAAAAAAAAAATTAATGTATTCAAAGAGAAAGCTCAAAGAAAACAAGATCTTTCGTTCACGGAGATGGTTAGATCGCACTTTGCAGGCCTCAAGAAAACTAGCCGATCTTAAAGAACTTACAGGCGTTCACGTACACACAACGTCACCAGAAGCAGTCATTTGCTGGATTGAGCCTAACATGAGATGCAAATAAACATCCGAACGCCCGTTAAGACTTGTAAGCGCTTTGGCGACGTTGGAACTGCGTGCCAGAACATCAGCCTCGAAGTGAAAAGCAAAGTTGACGCTTACGTCGCTCCAGGCTACGTCGAGAATGGGTCCCTGATGCGTCTGTTGTGCCTTGGGGATGGTCTGTCCCGTGCTCTGCACCTCCCAACACCTGATCTACCAATTGAAGAAATAAAATAGGAAGGAGGCACGTAAGGACACATCGTTGCGTAGCCAAAACGGTGGTAATGCACGAACGAGACACCTGAATTCAGAGCGAAATATCAACCTGGTTGTCCCAGCTCCCAGCAACGAGAAAGTTTTGAGGCAGGGACGCCGGACTGAACGCCATGCTGCTGATGGAGTCCTCCGGAGGCGAGACGACTTCGAAATCCTTCATCGGATTGTGTGTGCCGGTTGCCGCCGTTCCGGAAAACATGCCGACCCCGCCGCCGAAGTTTACTGACGTGCCTGCCGACCCAAACATGCCTCGCGATGTTGCCGCGATCTAGCCTACGATAAAGCGGGCCTATCGTAAGCAATTTTATCGAATCGGATCTCAGATTCCCTTTCGCACGTTGCGCGAATCACGCTATGACAGCTATAAAATTTTTAATCGCTCAACACACTGACATAGTATTGGAGAGCGCCATGTTATCGAAAATAAACATGTGCTGATGTCCGTAATTGTGCGGCTTACTAAACTTGTAAGGTTCTCACACAAAACTTTTGTCGCGTATAATTTACAATAAAACCATTATTTGGCAAATTTGTTTATAAAACAAGCGACAGTCATTGTAGAATGCTAGGCATCATTGGTGTGATTCTTAGTTCTTATCAATAAAACAACGCGCCAGCAGCGCGCTCATGTTTCCTGGTGCTCCTTCAGCTGGGAGATGGCGGGAAATATTTTCGCGGGAAAGTTGGTGAAGTGAGCACTTCCATTCGTCATGTGGTTTCGGTCCCTTGTTAAGATTACCAGCGTGCAAACTAGTGCTAGAAGAATCTGCAGCCCTCAGTGATTCGCCGGAGATCTTGCATGGCTGTGCGTTACAATCGCCGCGAAACGTCGGTCAGAAAGAATGGACGGTGAAGTCACTCATAGCTTCCCTGTGTGTGCTTTAGGTGCAGGTGGGCATCTTGAGTAGCCCTTTTCTGAAGTCTACTTCTCCAGGCCACGATGGATTTGCTTTTCAGTCAGTCCGAACACGCTTCCGATCAGTCTCTGTTCTCGCAAAAAACTGACTCGATCTCCGAAGCGTACTCGCAAAACTCGGCAGAGGATACATTATCCATCGGGGAGACCACACGGAAGCTTGTACATTGCAGCCAAGCTTCTCAGCGCCTGATCGACGAAACTGAAGCGGAACGCCTCCAGGTGATCCCCGAAACGGAAGAGTCGTCTCTTCAAGAAGGCGGCATGACGGAACCATGCCTCCCCGAAACCCCACAAAGTAAACTGCCGGACAGCGCTGCATCCGATGTTCAGAGAGACGACAATGGGCAGGAAGGCGACATATCTGGCGCCGAGAACGTTTGGAGGGAGGACGCAAAATGTCACGAAGTAAACGACGTTAATTCGAAAGTAAACAACGAAAACACAGGTGTTCATTCCGACCGAGTAATCAGTGACCCTCCTATGGATGACGACGGATCCAACCACAGCGTCGAGCTACCTGTCGGCACAATGGGTGAGAAAACGCATCGTCGGAGGAGGGCTCGATTGCTGGACGATTCGGACGACGAAGATTCGACGAGTGATCCGAAACATGCCGAGTCTATCAGTTCTCGTACCGACGTCGAGCAAGTAGACAGTACCGTCCCTGACGCGTCGAATTTGAACGACGACAACCTCGAAGTACCGCCGAGTGTCCCGGAGGATGATACCGCCAAAAAACCGAGAAGGATACGAGTACTAGACGACTCGGACGACGAGGACTCAACGAGCGAGCCGAAATCGCGGGGCATCGAACCCGCGACCAACTCGGACGCTGTACGAGGAGGTGAAAGTGAGGCAGTGGAAGGACCATCCCTTTTGGACGCTTGCCGTCGAATATGTGACAGTTCGGACGACGAATCCGTGGATGATGTGAGTAGGGACTCGGCTGGTGCACTCAACGATGAAAACACTGGCGAACCTTGTGGACCTGAAGGGGATGGGGAGGTCACCGGCGATGTCCAAAAGAAGGAAAGAGGAGGTAGAAAGTCGGCCAAGAAAGCGATGGAGGAACTCAAGCAGATCTACAGCACGAGCCAAAGAATGACGCGCGGTAAGAACCACCTGTTGCCTTCTTTTTTTTTTTTTGCTTGCTGACACACTTCTTGGATCATATGAGTGTGGGATGGTTGCCCTAGTGGGACACTTCGTGAGCTATGTGTAGTGTTTTAGTTAACGATGTACAGCCTTGTTTGTTTTCAGGCAGAAGCATTCAGAACAGAGATGGTGACAGTGTAGACTAGATGAAAACTACACAAGAGAATGACTGGACCACATATGCCATGATGTTATTGAACAGGGGATCTGGCTGTAGCCAACAGTGAGGTAGACAGGACGATCTCTTTCCTGCCTGCGTTGTCTACCAGTTCTGCAATTTATCGTGCTGTTGTCCTGTCTATAATGTCCCTCCAAACGGACCAAAATGCTACTGTTCTAAGTTTAGTTAGTGACGAACATTGTTGAACAGCTGATCGTTAAAAATGACAACACCGGCTGTGCTTGCACCTACGTTGCAATTAAGTGCCTCCAAAAACTATAGCCATTTTTTTTGTTGTTTGTTCTTATACTTATGCTACACCGGCACTTTTGACTGTAATCAAGCCTGAGCATAATTAGGCTCAATTTGGATCACGTGCCACTACAAGGCCACTTCGAATCGGGATCAAGGTGGTCACAATGTGTGCATCTCAATATGTCTCCAAGAGCACAATTTGGCTGACGTCTGCTCCAAACTCGGTCCACATTAGTTTCGAAAGTGTAGAAGCAACCATTGTCGAACGTGATCAAGTAATTCTATCCGCATAAGCCTAGGTTGCAATTGCAATAGAAAGTGCCTTCGGGACCCCGGGTATTAATGAAAATTTCCCAGTTTTCATTATCACACTCACAAATCTGAATCATTCCCTTCTGCTCTGTGATATCCTTTGTAAAATACGACTTCTCTTTTTAAGTTTGTGTGCTTTTCTTCGTTGTTCATTGTTTCAAGTTTGTTTTGTACGGTATTTTTGACAGCACAATACAGCAGTGTCTGACGATGCAGCATATTTTATTGATATTGTGAGTGTGCTCCATAGTGAGATAGTCAAGCACACATATGTATCTGCTCACATAGTTGTGGGCAGGATTTTCCTGCAGGGGGGGAGGGGGGGCTAGGGTTTGTTGCTGCCCCCCTTCTCCCACTTTTCTATTATGTCAATGGATGGGGCTTACTGTGCACCTCCCCCCCCATGACCCCCGAATTGCACTGCGCTCCTACTTATTATATCAATAGGTATGTGGGGCAGACATTGCACCCGCCTCTTAGCCGAATAGGGGGGGACGCACCACCCTTGCCCTTCTCTTATGCATGTCTATGCATGCTCACATTCGCTATTAAATAGTCTCGGTAATAATATGGTCTTCGTTATGCTCCCTACACGTAATGTCTTTGAGGCAATTTAGCTGTTAATGCATAGTACATCCTTCAAGTAACTGAGTTCCACTTCTCCGTCTAGACTTCTTTGTGCATAAACTGGCTGCTGTGCTGCTTTTGTTGCAGAGAGGCAAATGTCACTGCCATACCATGAGCCAGAAAGGCTGAGCTTGAAGGATTTTCTTCAGCAAAGACGAAGTGCTGGATCGGAATCTAGCTCAGCCTGCAAGAAGGAGGAAGAAAATACTGCTACACCGATTCCAAGCTCGAGGTATGCCTCTTTTCAACCAATCAACTTACCTTAACTTTGATTCAAAAGAGTCTGATGAGGTTAATACGAATGAAAGAAGGCCACTGTACTTAGTGCAACGTGTTATTTCTGTTAGCTCAAACTTGTGCATTGCAGATCTAGCAAAGTATTGCGGGCATTGTCCTGCTCGTAAGCACACAATTGCAGGCAGTGGGTTGGGGTTGGGGGGACAACATATGCACTTGGGTCTGTGCAAGCAATTTTGTTCTGATTGCAACACTGTAGCTGCTCGCAGAAGAGTGATTGCACTTTTGTGAACTGTACTTTGTTCAATATTTCTATTTATTTTTTATAGACAGTGCACATAAACAACCAGGACACAAAACAGGAACACGCAACATCATACATGAATGCAAAATAATGCCACATAAAAAAGCAAGAAGCACTGAGCTGTGCCAAGTGAGACAACATACTCAACCACATGGTTTGCAGCAGACTCGCTTTTGCTTCAAGAGATGTGGGTAAGGTTGAAGGTAAACATTCATGAAGCTACACATGTAAGTAGGCAAAAAAAAAAAAAAATCATGGATGCATGTTCTGCATTATCACGTCGAAGGCAGACTTCACCTGAACAACTTGACAAACTTTTCCTCCTCATCCATATAACTTGCGGCAAATTTAGTGACAAATTGATGAGAGACACAAGTAAGATAAGTAGTTTGCTTGCTGCAGCATCGGCACATTAGTTTCAACTATGTCTAGCAGTGTGCTCACAATTCTTCAGTTGATATGTTGGTACCAAAACTGAATTTATGTCCTGGTTGTTTACGGCCGCTTTTTTATTCATAATGCTAAATAGACTAGTCCAAATTCTCGATATTGTAGCCTTTACGTCTATGACGTCTTTGTGCTTTCACTTTTTATTCTTCTCCACAGCAGCAGCAAGGACCCACCGCTTGACGACTCGCCGGCCATTCCTGATACGCCCATAGGCGTGGACGATCTGAAATGTTCCGTGGGACCCGAGATGATGGAGGCAACGCCCACCGAGAAACAGCCTGCTGACGGAAGTTCACTGTCAAGTAGCAGCGAGGGAGCACAGATGCTACATTTGTCGGCTAGACGACGGCGGAACTTGGAAGCCATCGCTGCCGGCCTAGTGCCTCGTCTCAGTCAGGAACCTGTGATCCTCCTGGCCGACGACAGTAGAGACCAACCGAAGGGTGTTGATCATCTGTTAAAGCGGCTGGTAAAACATACCAAGGTTGACGACGCTAAGAAAAAGAAAGAGTAAGTTTTCTATCCAAGAGGTGTTGTTGGAAAAGCATTTTCATTGTAACAGCAATTATATGAATACTCTCAGTGGGTTTTTGCCATCACCATCACTGTAATTCTTGCGTTCCATGGAAAGTTTAAATTGGTAACATTGCCCAGAGCATTGTAAGCTATGCATTTGAACCCCTATATAAGAGACTTTCACCAAAGGGCAACTCTTGTTCCTTACACGAGATATCTCTTATAGACAGGATACATGTTCTCATTTTCTGATTATCTTTCTTTTGATATAAGCATAATAGTCTACTTTATATCTAATTGTCAGTTATGTCACTGCTTTTATAAAGGGGTTTGACTGCATGCAAGCAAAAGTCCGCAAACACTTGGGACGCACACGACAGAGATGAAATGAGCCAGACATCTTCGTCTCACGGAGGGTGCATGTGATGAAATTCTCCTGTGCACAAAGCCCACCATCTGCGGCTCCCCAAGCAGAAATTGAAGGCTCTGCTAGTCTTTCGTTGAGCGAAAAAGCATCAAAGGGTGAGAAGGCGGTGCATCGGCATTGTTTGGGCAGCGAGCGACTGCGTAGTTTCATCAAAAGGGCACGGTTGCGAGTGTGATCACGACAGACATTGGTAGATAGTCTGTACACACTTGTATGTGCTGTGCTGCTACCAATTGCTTTGCATTGTGATGACAGAAGGCAGGAAAAATCGCTTCGCTCCCTGGAGCAGTCATATTCACTTACTCCTGTGTTTTGTAGAGTTGCATTGAGATCAGATCCAAAAAAGTTAGTGACTTTGCGTAACATTCTGATTTGCTGCTATCGCATTCATTATTGCTTCTTCCTTGGAAAGAAACTATGTTTTTTTTTTACCTCAGGCTCACTAGAGCTGCAGTGTATGTAGTACGTAGTTTATTTCCCACCATTGATAATGGTATAGCAGAGAATATCGGCTTGTGTGCCAACTTTTTAGTGTTAGCCGAGTACAGTGTCATTGGCGGTGTAAACGTAAACAGTCTATTTCTGTTGCACAGAGGTCACCCAGGCCAACATAGCTGCTATCCAGTAATGAAGTGTGTTCTACTTCACTGCTGGGTTAAATATTTTACTGTGAAAGCTGTTATGAGATCACAAGGGTCGCGTGCGGGGCCGCAGTTGTCCACTGCCGCTGATGGCTATAATCAATATCGCACGAAAAAAGAAAAAGAACTTGTAAATAAAAAACACCAAAGACACAATGGGATTCTAACTCAGGTCTCCTGCGTGCCAGCCCAGTATTCTACCACTGAGCGACACCGATGCTTGGAGCACCGATGCCAACTGGCCTTAGGCAGGCTTGGTGTCGGGTAAAGAATTGTGTTAGTATGAGTAAGAAAGCGTTTTAGAACAGCAAAGGACCAACCAGGCATTACACAATCGGAATTGCACAAGTTTTTTTTTTTTTTTGTCGCCTAAAAAATCTTAGCTCATACCCACAAGGGGGATGGGCCACACTGTACCTTGTAAAAGAATTTAAATACAAGGCTTGTTAATGTGTCTGTACACTAACGCCACGACCCTTTCGTCAAAGCTCCATGAAGCTCTGCGGAGCCCCCCAGCACGCCCGTGAAGCGGCGTCGAGGCAAGCCCTTGACGTCCCCTCATGGGAGGTCTAGGCCCGGCCACCTAAACCTGCTGGTTTCTTATAATAAAGTTTATTCCTCCTCCCAAGGCTTGTTAAAAGAGAGAGAAGTCAGATAAGAATGAGATGAATAACAACGTACATTAAGGAAAAGAAATAAAAAGAAAATGAAAAGGGCAAAAGCATTCAACAAACCAGATTTAAAAAAAAAGCAAGAAAAGAAAAAGGGGGACAAAGAATTGGATTCATCTGGCGGTACTACTAGCAGTGTATCCTTCTGGTTGACTGAATGAATTTATGTAGCGTGGACAGAATAGCACTGCTGCCCGCTCCCAACTGAGTGGCTCCAAACAATAAAAGGGTGGATGTATTAAATGCTAATCCCAGCATACCAACCTGCCTCTCGCGAATTATTTGGTGGAGTGAGGCGAAACGGTGGCATGTGAGAAGGAAGTGATTTATTGTTTCCGGCTCATTGCACAACAAGTTGGTCATTCAATGCTCCAACCCATTACAAAAGCTCCATGTCATTCACCTGTTAACTGTGGCGCATACCCACTGCGGGGGATTGTAGGGGATTACAAAAGCTTCTGGCATAATTCTTCATTGTCGTCAGGCACAGCATAAAAAAATGCACAAAATTCTTTTCAATTGTGCAGCTGGCACCAGGCTTCTCTGAGGAATGATGAAGGATGGCATAGTCAATGCCTGGCCACTACACAACGATTTATGGTGTACTGGGTGTCCTGTAAGTGTGCGTGATAGCTACCTAAAGAGTGTTGAAAAAAGGCTGTGAAAGGCCGCTCTTCCAGCTTTCGCTGTGACAGTGCTGCGCCTTCTGCACAGGCCTGGCGTTTTCTTTTTTTTTTTGTAACCTTTAGTGTTTTAATCTAAATGACTTATGTACGATTATAGCCGATTCTGATTTTAAGAGCTGGAATGTTAAAGAACACATGCAATTACGCTGTGAAAATCAAGTTGTAAGAGTAGCATGTGTTGTACTTATGACTATCAATGAAAAGTCCTCACGTGACATTTATGAATTTGTGGTTTCAGGTCTATCAAAGCAACTGCCATTGTGGTACCTGGGATTATAGAGGAGGGCCCGATTTCGCAGAAAGGTTTGTGTCTGGCCTCTCCCATTTTACTTATTCGTCAAGCAGTGGCATGAAACCAATGCGCAGCTGTGTGCTAAAAGTGAGAAAAGTCTGGCTTTACTGAGTTGCGAGGTTACAGATGTACAGTGTGTCTGCATGCTAATATGCATTGTCTGTTTCAACCTTACAAGTGTAGCAAAGATGCTTCTGCACACATTAGGCACATTGTATGAAGTCTGCATGCAGATAGGTGGACTGTTAAAAGAAACACTTGCCACTCAACATTCCACCTTAACCAGTAGAATTAAGATGCAGAAAAGTCGCTAATAAAAAAGGGAAAAGGAAAAAAAAACTTAAATTTTGGTCCCTGAAATTTTCCTTAGGAGTGAGCCAGCTATCTGTCCTAAAAGAGAAGCTTCTGACCAAAGTTCGACAGCAGCGCAACCGTTCCAGAGAGCAACGTTACCTGCAACAATGTCTGGACAACGAAGAACTTCCACCCGATGCTGCTCAGTCGGACGATGCACCGAAGTCTCCACTGGCACTTGCTGATGAATTTGAAGAAGAAAATGACTTTTCTGAAGACGACACGTCATCCGGTTTGTGCGACTGCTACTTCATATTCTTTAATCTATTTCACTCTTAAGTGACATCTCACGAACAGAATTAGCGTTGATGACTCATTGCTGTAATGAGTAGGTTTGTGTTCTGATAATCATCAAGTTATTCTGTAGATGGTCTAAAGAAACATCATTATAGCTAGAGTCTTGAATTCTGATCGACTCTAGCATCTTTTCTAAGTGCCCGCTCAAAAGCACTAGAAATCGACGCCCACAACAGCAATTGCAACTGACGTGACAAATCACATGCTTTCAAACTTGAGTCACGTTGAGGAGATTACCATTTTTTTTGAAGCATACTTTTAAATGTGCTGCTTCGCTTTGTTGATTCTTGTAGCATGCACATCGAAACAGAATGGTAGGCATCGCAATTAGATTTAACTCGCAAAAATGTCATCTAAACCATGTACTTGCTCATATGCTGATCTTATTGGTAGGGGTAAAGTTTACTGCAGGATAGGTACATCAGCCATGGAAGGTGCCATTAATGTTAGTTCCAGCCAGCATAATCAAACATGCATCCAAACTTGAAAGCCTTTGATCTGACTAATTGAAATGCTGGTCAGTTTTGGCAACTCTTCAATTTTCAGTTAAGACTTCATGTTTTGTTGCATCATAGTAGCCACACACTGGGAAAAAAAGCGTTTCAAGTTATTTGGTGAATTTGTTATCTCAGTTTTTCATCTACTCTGTTTCAAGTTGAGTCTCGAACTTTTTCAACAGGTGAGGAAGAAGAAAAAGGAGAAGATGGAAACAACTCCGATGACGACGACGTGGTTCTCAAGCACAAAAAGCGAACGAGGAGAGTAAACCCACTTTCTGACGACGATGATCAAGAAGGCTCTGAACAGACCAAAAATGCTTCCGTAGAAAACGTTGAAAATGACGACGAGGACTTCATCAAGAGCTCCACCTGGAGATGCCTGCCTTTCTCGACACTGAGGATAACATCGACCAACCAGAAACGGGCGATGAGAATGGTGAGTTCCACTAGCTTTAATTCTTAACTTCGTATTCTGTACGAGTTATATTCTGAACCATGAGACCGACATAACTAGAAGAATAAGAATAGAGTGGAAGCATTGCAGGCATTCTCAACTCATGAACGATAGTTTACCACTGTCAGTCACAAGAAATGTATATGATAACTGCACGCTACAGGGTAATTACCTAAGAAACACATACCTGGAGGCTTACAAACAGAGTTTAACTTAAATTGAGGACGGCACACTTAGCATAGAAAGGAAAATTATGGGTGTAATCTAAAGAGACGGGAAGAGAGCAGAGTGGGCCAGGAAATCAGCGAGTATTAAAGGGCTCCTAAACCATCCAGAGATCAAAATTTTGTTGTGGTGTTGCAGTTGTGCACGAGCCTACAACGAATACATAGCTGTGAAAACTTTTCCAAATGGTTTTGTCAAAGCAGAGTTACACGAGTTTGATGATGCAGACTGGTGCCCCCGTTGAACTGAGCGTGTCACGGAAGGAAAAAAAGCGACGCCTAGCACGAAATGTAATCACTGGTACGCTGCAAGAGAGTAAAAAGTTATCACTGCGAAATTAAAAGGACTTGCATGTGCACTTTCAACGTCAGATGGCGCGGTGATGCAGTTTTATAGGATCGCGGTTGTTGCTCACATGTGCCGACTTAATTTGTCAATAGATGTACATTAAAAACTTTCATAGTGATAACTTCCAAACAATAATGGACAGTTGACTAGCTTTAGTCTTGTAGTTTGATTTTACATGTTAAATCAGTCACCCTAAGGCAAATGAAACTTTTTGATTTTTTAAAAAAACAGGCCCGTGCAAGGGAAGCGTTCTTATTTCTTATTTTAATTCAACTTTGGCAGCCGACATCTGGGAGAGAGCAATATGGTTTCTGTTTTGAACCCTGATTTAATTTTTTGCCTTTGCTTTTTGCATTTCGTTGAAGTGCCGAACGTTTTGCATATTTGCATTCTCGTTTAAGGTGCTGAAGATGCTGAAAGCTTTTTGGATTCCTCACAAGTTGCAAACAGTGAGAAGAATGCACAAACGCCGCTGATTCACAAAAGCAGGACAGTGCACAGCTTTCAGTGTGACGAAGCAGAACTGTTCAGCCCCCTCACGGGTCTGCCTGGGGCACAGTCAAAAACGGTGAGCACTGTCATGGGCTGTTTATGATTGTCATCCACTCACTAGTTCCATAGTTATTTTGTTGTCATATTTACATGGTTGCTCTTGTATTCTCATTATGAGTCATTCGTGTGTTATGTTTTTTTTATTGATAAAGCACTAAGTCACTTGAAGCTAGGCAAATAGGCTTTGAATTCTTTCGTTACCGCACGAAAATGGTTATTTTTCATATCTCTCGGGAGGATCGTTTTTGCCAGTTTAAAAAGTACTCCAGCATGCATTGCAGCAAACGAAACTTTGCACGATGAAATGCTCTTTCCGAAAATATATATGTTTTAAAGCGAAAAAAAAAATATTTCAGAATGAATAAAAATGTGAAAAGTGGGGAATTTTTGGTCGTTAGATGCTAAACAGCACAATAAAACACTATATATGCTATAATATTCAAAACAAAGAAAGTTCAGAATATACATTTTGTAGATAAATGACCCAGGAACAGTATAAATATAATGAATGTTGTACAATATGTTTCTCTTCACGTAGATAAAGAAAATCAGAACCGAAATGCTGCTTCATTGCTCGTGCCATGCGGTGAAGCATAACATGGTTTTTCTTGAGACACAAGTGTACTCGTACACTTTCCCCCGTAAATTTTTGTGCTCTTGCGATAAGAGTCCCCAGGTGTTCCAATATATAGATGGATAACCAGGATGTGAATAATCCTTCTATAAATGAGGTGTCCAATGAACTTCGCGATTTCATCTAGCGTCACCTTTTTCCATCAGCCACCTCACTCCGCATAGGTTGGCGCTTCGATATATGCACCAAAGCATATTTTTTCATTGCGTTTTTGTGCATATCGTATTTAAAAAAAGAACAATATCGCGTGCTGTTCTAGAACGTTTCACAGTGCTCCGTAGTCGGAGCCAAGATGTGCTGGGGGTGCCTTTTTGTCCTTGGGAAAAGCTCTGCAGCCAGTGCCAGCACACCGCACTCAAGCGAAGTGTGGACCACACATGTAACCAGAATAGCTATGAGAAGTTGCGGGGGAGGAGACAACTTGAGAGTGTAAACAAAAGAAACCCATGAACAGCTGCGGATGTCACAGGCAGACGCAAAACATTGTCGCCATAAAACTTGAAGCTGAGGTGCTGTCATCCTTGAACTCTAAGCTCGTCCTTAGTTGGGTTCGCCAGACAGTTTCGAGCAGCGCATGTGTTTTTCAGCGCTGCTGCGCACCCATATGCGCGTGATGACGACGTCATAGGAGCGACTATAGTGACTCTAGATTCAAGCCTGTGTCTGTTACAACAATGCAAGCAAAACCAAAGCTGCTGGAAACTGTCAGAGAAGGCCACCTCGACACTTTAAACACGTGGTGTACCATCGTTAATATTTTTTTTTAGAACAAAATTTCCCTGACTCCCACAGGAACAGCTCTCTATTTAAATATCTGGCATAAATTTATTACAATTATTACTGCTTAACATAGTCAAATTGTGAAGCTGACACTTTAATTCGATATTTGGCTTGCAAAGGTTCATTTCGTTACAAAACTTCGATGTTAGTGTAGCATAATCACGAGGGGCGCGCACTTATGTCAAGTTCGCCAGCCTAGTGCACTTTTCCGACAATACACACACATCGGTTTGTGCAGAGGTCTGTCAAAAATCACTGTATTGCCAAAATGGGCAAACTCTGATTGATTCTCAAAGTTGAGTGGCTGGACTAACTACTAGAAAGTGCTGGGTGCACGAGAAACAATTTTGACATGCTAAAATCGATCATCCAAAAGCGTCGATCAGCAGCGATCGATATGAATAGGCGTGGTAACGATAGAGTTAGACGTTGCCTAAAATGGAGGTTAACAGTGTGATAAATGTTACAACGTCCAAACAAAACAATGTAAATGATCAAAGTTTTTGCTGTAAAAGAAGTCTAGAACAGCTGACAAGGCCTTGCTTTCATCGCACCGAAATTCCTACACAAGAAGCACCAATTTCATGAAGTTTTCATCAGAATGAACTTCATTTCACGTCCCACCCCTCGAGTTCTGGAGAACCTACCTAATAGTTCAAAATTACCACCACACCAAAGTTACAAAGCTATAAAAACACATGTGAGACAAGCTTTGGGAAAGTTGAAAAGCTGCATCAAATAAGTCATGTCACAATGTACTTGTGATTGGACCAAGCTAACTTGCTGATGATGCGAGATTGGTGCCAAAGACAGTGCAAAGCGTTGCAAAGCTTTGCAAAAGATGATATCTCCCTTACTATACGATATCGTGTTTGTTCGACGCATGACATTCAGTACATCACTTAAAAACTTTTTTTAGATAAAAGTTTCAACATTTGGTTTCGTAAAAAGTCAGTTTGACATGTATAATAGTAAGTAGGATGACTTACACTAGTTCTTTTTGTTATATAGATTATGTGGTGCATACTTATGGTGCCATCATGCCATTGTGCAGAATACTCCGCAGCAAGGAACTGCTTCGGCGTCTAGCAGCTTTCAAGAGAGCCCAATGGGCTCGAGTGTTTCACGACCTCTGTCCTTGGCCTTTTCTCCTTTGGCGGCAACTGCTGGGTACGCTGATATTGAAGTGATTTCTTTACTTCAAACTGTAATTTGTTTAACATAAGCTAAAATGAAGGATTGGTATGCAAGAAAAAGTTACACCATTTTCAGAGCACATTGAAAACAGCAGCTGCAAAATATTTGCAAAAGAACCAAATTGTGTCTCTAAAATTACACTGGTTGTACACTCAAACCTTGATATAACAAAAATTTTTTATAACGAAGTAAATAAAGGATAGTCTTGCACAACGATTATAGTGTTAGAAATATACTTTTATAACAAATGTTTGGATATAGGAAACTTGTCTTCATGCAAAAAGCAACTTTGTTATAATGAGGTATGAGTGTACAGTCAGCTTCATCCTCCTACTTCGTCCACCGCATGGCAAGGGCCTCTTCAATGCTTTGCCAATTGGTCCTTTTCATGATGCTCTGGTGCATGCGCCCTACCCCTAGGCGGAAAAATCGTGCAACATCTCTTCATCTTGAAAGCTTTGCTCCTGGTGATACCATTTGTTCCAGCCCCTGCCAAGACCCTACGAAAACAGCAGAAGGCAGCAGAAGAAAACTAATGCATCAGAATTAGCCACTCCCTGAGCTTCTTGCAGCCAGGTTATTAATGTAGGCTTCTTATAATCTTCATCAGGCCCATCTAACCTCCTGTCTCCTCCTCAAGCGTTTACCTTCTCTTAAAGTTCAGTTTGTTACTCTGAATGAGTCTAATCACTCATGCTTGCATGCCCTGCATCAACTAAGATGTCCTTAACATGCATTTCTTCCCTAACCCACTCTGCTCTCTTCTTGTAAGACAGCGCCCGTCATTTTTCTTTCCATAGCTCGCTGCATCATCCTCAGTTGAACTTTTCTTGTAGGGCTCCAGGTTTTTTCGTCCCAGGTAAAAGAAACGCGTGAAATTCGTTTAAGTTGGTCTTTTCGTGATTGTAACAGCGCTTTTATGATGTACTTGCTGACTCATCTTTTTTTATCTTTTTCAGGGCTTTGACAGCTTGCAGGTCTCTGCGAAGGCAGTTTTCAGGTGAGATTGTGAAAAAAATTAGGTGGCCTCGCCCTATCGGTGCTCAGCCTGAAGGAAGTGCAGTGCTTTGTCCCTCTTCATTTTTCTCTTTCATTTCTTTCTTTCTTTCTCTATTTTTCTTTCTTCTTTTCTTTCTTCTATCTTTTTCTGTCATCTTTGTCTCTGTTGATTTCTCCTTCTTCCTTTATATGTTTCTTTGTTCTTGTCGCCCTATTTATGTGTTTTTCTCTTCCCTTTATTTTCTTATTTCTCGCTTTCTGTTTCTTTCCTTCTTTCTTTTTATTGTTCTCTCTCCTTCTCACACCTCGGTTCCCTTTCCTACTCCTCTGGTATACTATACTGTGTGTGGTCTACTATAGTCTGTATACTATGCTGTGTTAAAGCCCACATATCAATCAATCAATTACTGTGCTGGGCTATGCTGTGCCCTGCTAGCATGGCTTGATAGCCGAGCGGTTACGGTGGTCACCTTCGAATCGTGCTTACGCAGTTTCAAATGCTGACTCGTCAAGAATTTTTTTTCCGCCCAGAATTCCTCGATTTCTCTTTTCATCCTCTTATTTCTTTCTCTCACTCTCTCTGTACTTGCTCCTCCTCCATCAGAGTTATCGCAGGCCACGCCATACAAATTGGCCGCACGTGTTCTTGGAGCGATGTAAACGTTAAAAGGGGGCGAAGATAGTGTATTCTGGTTCATGATGATAGTTTTTTGTTTCCGAATCACGCGAAGGACGGCTTCTATAAACGGCTCTGTTAGGGGAGGGGGGGGGGCAGCACGCAGGCACTTCTTGTTGTCTCAATGTCTGTTGGCTTCATGAGCTTGCTAATATTAAATACCATACTAGCAAAAATACAGACTGCGGACATTGCCATGATGAAGTTAAATGAGTTTTTTTTATTTACTTGTTACGAAAGCTTCATGGCTTTACTGCATTCACTCTGTACCCTTTGGGGCCTGCCATAGTAGCCACAAGATCCAAAATTAGCATTTACGAGATCAGATCTCCAAGCAACACTAGCTAGATCTATATGCGTTTTGTAAGACGGCTACGTTTCCATTGATTTTGAAAGATAGGCTATGATCTGACCGAGAGGCTTATTTAATTGTTTAATAATTATGAGGGAAAGATAACCACTCGAGTGAAAACTGTATTCAATGAAGGTTTTCTTAGTACCATATAAAGTGCTGTTTCAATGCACTTTCGCTTTATGGTTTTCCCAATTGCGTTTTCTGTGCGTTTCATTCCCAGAGGACTGTGCCAAGCCCTGGGAAGGCGGGACACCCGCCCCTATTAATCCGTCTCAAGACATGGATGAGCTGGTTGGATTATGCTCTGGAAGCTTTGGAGCGCGGTAACCATTCCTACTGGTTCCAATGATCGGGTCCCGTTTATTACTCATTCGGTACTGGCAGCTAGAACTACAGTAGTATCACTTTGTAATGAAAAAATGCTCGCACATATGCTTAGAAACAGGTGCGTTCTAAGAATGTCAGGTTGTCACATTCAATTCAAAGCTCTCCTCTACAGCGTTACTCAGTGTCCATGCTTTGATTTTCAACATGACATATCCATTACTAAATATTACCCAATATATTTGCTTATTTATACATACGTATATTGTCCATGTGGAAGCACTGTAGGGTTTATCTATAACAAACTGAGCATATTGTTTTGATGGGGATATGGACATCTGGGAAGAACTGATAAACACGAAATAGTCGTGATTAATTCACGAAGCAGGCACTTGTAAAAGAAAAGATTAGTTTAATGCAGTTTAGGCTATTACAATCATCATCTTGTATGTATTATTTGCTCAAGACAGGCATTTAATTTTGTCCAATTTTCAATTGCAATAGGACAGCAAAGACTAAAGATTTTATTGTTTTTTTGCAGGTGTTTCTGGCATGTGTGTGTATTGTGGTACTAATGTCACACAGTGAACTTGTGGCTAGAATGTTTTCTCCTTGTCTTTTATTGTGCCGCAGTATTTCAAAATTGTGTACCAAAATGCCCAACATGCAACTTATCGTTCTTGCCAATTATGAAGTTTTTTTCCTCAGCCCGAGCATGTGCCCTGTATTCAGCTTTGCATATGTGTGTGCCTGTTCTGATGCAGTGCTCAAGCTGACAAGGTTGAAGAAAAGGAGGAAGAAGAAGATGACGATGATATGCCTGTAGCCACCCTCAGCGAACCAGATGAGGGCGTTGGAAATGAAAGCGATGAGGAACCAGATGATGATGTTGTTAACGACAGTGCTGGCGAACCAGATGAAGACGACATAGAGGGCGACAGCGAGGTTGAAAGCACTCCTGCGGCAAAAGAAGAGAAACCGGCGCTCAAGTAAGCTTTCTTGACGCAAACATTTACTGTTGCGTTTCTCACACATACGTGTCTTGTATTTTTGTTTATTTTATATTTGTGAAATTCTTGCGGGCTTTTCAAAAATTGCTTTATCATGCAGTGCGATTCAAATTCTTCAGGTTTGTTATTGAAAAAGGCCAACATTACTTGCAGGCGAAAATACAATCTTCAAGCACCAAATGAAAAAGGTTCACTATTATACACTCTCGTTAAACGAAACTTGGAGGTACCAGGAAAATGAGTTCCGCTTAACAAGAGTTTAATGTGTTTGTGCCTGTTGCATTAAACATAGTGAGGCTGCACTGCATTACTGGAATAGCTGCATGGCTTCACGTCATCGATTTTGCACAGCGCTCGTATATGCCTTATGTTTCTGTTACAAGCTGCCACTCTAGCGTCGCCAGCGGGAAGTCGGCGACGGGAATGACAGCAGGTTAGTTCGTTCCATACGCAAGCAGAGACAGTGAAGAGATCAGAGACGTGAGAAAACAAAACAAAACTTTACTCTAGTGATATTGCAGCACACGGGATCTAGTACAACACTTCAATACAACTAACAAAATACATCGACACTTGATACAACTAAAAAAATATATAAAAAACAATAAATCAGCTTACGAGAAAGAACTATTACAAACTACACAAACTAACAACAATAGAACTACGGAGGAGAAAGTTCGAAGATATAAACAGGTGAAGGCGTACGTGTGATGACCGGCAGCGTTGCATCCCCGACGATCGGATGCGAGAAGTCGAAGAGAGTTCTGGCACGACTGCGATGTTGGCGGTGCTGCAACGCTGGTGGCTCCGGGAGGCTAGTGCTTGCAGGTGGCTTCGGGCAGGTTGAGCTAACTCGAGGCGAAGTCCCGATGTCTGCGTTGCAGACGTTAATATCGCGTCACAACTAGACGAACGGCCAAGTTTAGGTGGCCAGCCGATACAGAGCCACACTAAAAACTTCTAGAAGAGATGCTTGTTGATCTGTTTCTACACCATGTTGGTCAGCGACTAGTCTGCCTTGCAGGGCAAAATCCTGCGCTTAAATCCCCCTCGTGTCTCCTCGCTCTCTTCCTTGGGGACAAGAGACCTCTACATGGGTCCAATCATGCGCGTTTCATTGATGGAAGCTCCGCCCCAAATAATATATTGACCCCACCCCTTTTTAATTAGGAGAGGGCCCTCAACTAGCGAGAGTGACAACCTGTTGGGGTGTTGTCATACGACTTGGCCACCAGAGGTTTTCCCCGTGGGAACGGTCAGACTGTTTGGCTCTCAGCCGGTGCGTCCCATAGTCTAATCCTTGTTCGGGGTACATCGCGGCCTTCCACGACCCTGCAGACGCCGCCGCAGTTACAAAGGATCAAACGTCGGCGGCGACGTTCGAAGAAGAGCACCCCATTCTGCACATCTCGGCTCTCTTTCATGCGCCCGCCGTTCCCACGGTCAGTGGGGGAGTACGGCGCCCGTTGATTGCCGTGACGCGGGGTCGCCAAAAATGGCAGTCCGTGACATTGCCCCCCACTTTCAGAATGTTATTCATAACATTTGCTCACACGGAGGGGAATTTTTCGACAACAAGGAACAAAACACCACCAACAAGGGAGACATGAGAACTGTCCCTCTCGTACACAACATAAATAGGCAGAGTGTATCAAAGTAACAACAAAAGGGAAAAAACAATTGTTAGAGTACCAGCTTCAGTTACACGCAACAATATCAATGCGCCATACAAACAAGAAAAAGAAATAGCCGTGTACGGCAGCCATCAATACAGAATACACTGCACGAATGTATACTACGAAACAAAACGGAACAGGTGCGCTCCTCTACTGTAGTGAAATCCTTCAATGTGCATTACAACATGTAAAAACAACCCATGCGCCAAGCAAAAAGAAGATAACTCAAAAGACACTTATTGTACAACGAAATATGCACATACAAACAGAAAACAAACGACGAAAGAAAAAAAAAATAACATGCTCATAGACCTCAAGAACTATATCCGGCTCAAGTAATCGGCTCCCACGTTTTCGCTACCCTTAATATGCGTAATGATGAACTGGTACTCTTAGAGTAGTAAACTCCATCGAAGTACTCGAGCGTTCAGCTATTTTGCCTGTTGGATATAAATCAGAGGCTGGTGGTCTGTCTGGACACAAAAATGTACTCCATATAAGTACATAAAGAATTTCTGAATTCCCCATACCAACGCGAGACATTCGCGTTCGATGGCACTATAGGACGCCTCCCGTGGAAGCAGCTTTCGGCTGGCATAAGCTGTGGGGTGGAGCTTGCCTTCGTGGGCCTGCATGAGCACGGCTCCGAGACTTGTGTCCGATGCGTCCGTTCGAAGTACGAATGGTTGGTGCAAATCTGGTAGCCGTAGTATCGGCTCCGTCGAGACATGTTGTTTGAGACTTCGAAAAGCCTCCTCGTGGGCTGCTGTCCATTTCACTGAGTTAGCTTCGCCCTTCCGAGTTAAATCTGTAAGGGGAGCGCTGACTTCTGCGTAATTCGGGATAAATTCCCGATAGTACCCGGTCAAACCGAGGAAGGCGCGCACTTGTCGCTTGGTTGAAGGACGTGGTGCAGCTTCGATCTTGTCGAGTGTTTTCCCCAGTGGTTGCAATCTGCCCCTGCCAACTCGGTGTCCCAAGAAGTCGATTTCTTCTACACCAAGTTCGCATTTACTGGGGCGCACTGTAAGCCCGACCCTCTGTATGCGCTCAAAAAGCAGTCCCAGAGACCTCAGGTGCTCTTCCCATGTCTCGGTGGCTACCAGTACGTCATCGTAGTAGTGGTCCGCACCGGGTATACCTTCTGCAACCTTCCGCATCAACTTAGCAAATACAGCAGGCGCTGTTTTGATGCCGAATGGCATGAAGCGGAACTGATATAGTCCTGATGTCGTCGAGAAGGCTGTCTTCGCTTTGGACTCTTCGGTCAGCGGGATCTGCTAATAGCCCTTCACGAAGTCGAGCTTCGAGAAATACTTCTTCTTTCCCACTGTAGCAAACACCGCGTCAGTTCTTGTCATAGGTTCGGAGTCGGCCACCAGAACGTTGTTCAGGCGTCGAAAATCGATACACAGTCGATTTGTCCCGTCGGGTTTCTTTACCAAAATGACTAGCGAATTATAAGGTGACTCTGATTTCTCAATGATGCCGAGCTTCTCCATCTCCCGCACCTCTTTCTCTACACCTTCCCGCGTTGCAAAGGGAAGAGGGTATTGTTTCACGTGGACGGGGTTACTCGTGGTGAGTTCGAGGTAGCAGTGGACCCAGTCAGTTTTGCCCGGGACATCAGAGAAAATACGAGCGTGTTCCCTGACAATTCTTTGCAGCTGTCCGATCTGCTGAGCGTCCAGTTTGTCGGAGAGCTTCACGTCTTCTTCCCCTTCTACTTTCAGCCAGTCAGGGGTTGGAATATTCTCGTCCTCGCTCGATTCCACAACACCAAATGTCACGTTGCACACTTTGGTGGAGGGGCTGTCCCTCTCCTCGTATCTTTTTAGTAAGTTGGCGTGGAAGATTTTTCTGCCGCCAGCCGTGTCTACGACGTAGTCAGCTTCACCTTTCTTTTCTCGGACTTCAAAAGGGCCCTTCCATTGCAGCAGCAGCTTGTTCGTGTCGGTGGGAAGTAAAATCAGTACCTTGTCTCCGGGGTTGAAACTCCGCTCTTTCGCCTTTCGATTGTACAGCTTCGTGTACCGTGCTCCGGCTTTTTCCAACTCCTCGTGTGCCAGGCGGCACGTTTCCTCCAAATGGTTCCGAAGGTCGAAGACATGCTGGTATCTCGTCTTAGCTTCTTCAGTCAAGTCGGCGTTCGTCCACAGCTCCTTCAGTATCGCCAAGGGTCCCCTCACATGGCGGCCGTAGAGAAGCTCGAAGGGTGAAAACCCCATACTGGCCTGCGGAACCTCCCTATAGGCAAAGAGGAGAGGTGCCAGGTAGCAATCCCAATCTCGGTTTTTCGGCGCACATGCGCTTCAACATTAATTTTAAGGTGCCGTTGAATTTTTCCACCAAGCCATTCGCCATGGCGTGATATGGGGTGGTGTGGAGCTGGCGCACGGAAAGGAGCCGCGCTACTTCCTTCATCAGGTCCGATGTGAAGTTCGTGCCACGGTCGCTCAGTACCTCGCGGGGGTCGCCAAATCGGCAGAACATCTCGACCAGGGCTTCGGCCACTCGCTCAGTTTCGATACTCGGGAGCGCCACTGCGTCTGGATACCGGGTGGCATGATCCATTAAAGTCAAAATGTATCGGTCTCCATGCTTTGAGGGCAGGTGAATCGGTCCCACTATATCCATCGCCACTCGCTTGAACGGGGTGTCGATTATGGGTGCCCTCCCCAGTGGAACATGTGGTACATGGCCCTTTGGTACGGTGCGCTGACAAATGTCACATGAGGCGACGAACATTTTTACGTCAGCTGTGATGCCTGGCCAAAAGGACTCCTCCGAGATCCGGTCCTTGGTTTTCTGCGTGCCCAAGTGTCCTGCCATTATACCATCGTGTGCTGTTTTATGCACAGCTTCTCGGTGGCAGTGCGGAACGACTAATTGGCGTACAAGCCGTCCGTTGGCCTCTGTGTACTGTCGGTACAGCAGTCCCTGTTCTTGTTTATACTCGACGCTTCCCTTCTCATTTCGGCATGTTTGCTTCCTGCCGATCTTCTCAAAACACTGTTTGAGTGTCGCATCTCTTCTCTGCTCGCAGCCATAGTTATCTCCCGGCAATCCCGCTGTGGTCCCAGGCGTACGAAGCTTGGCAAATTTTTCCGGCTGTGCATGTGCTTGGGAACGGGTGATAGGTGCTGCTACAGGCTCTTCTGTTAACTCCTTTGTCGAGACAGGTTTTTCAGTCTCCTTTCTGGTGTCATTAGGAGGTCTTACGTCATCGATATTGCCCAGAGTGAGGTCATACAGTGGATCTTGCAGGCATAGTGCTGTCAGATGGCCAGTAAAGTAGGGGGTGTCAACCTCAATCCGTGCTTCGAGCAGCATCCTCGCTGTTCCGTCAACCAAGTAGACGAGTCTGCTTGTACCTGTCAGCTCGTCTTCCTTCACCAACTTCCTCCGCACGATTACTGTGTTGCACCCCGTATCCCACAACACTGATATGTCTGTGCCTCGGAGGGTCCCTGTGGCCACTGGTAGGTTCTCGGCCACATTTTTCGACGGTCTCACCCTTACGGCGTTGACGACGGGGACTTTTTCGCCATTGCTAATCTCGATATACCCGTCGCATATGGGATCCTCACGCGTTTCCCTTGGTGCGTAGAGGCAGGACGCCTGGAGTGAGTTATTTGCTCCTGACCGGCAGTCGTTTGCCCTATGTCCTTTTTTCCCACACTTGAAGCAGACGATGGCTACATTAGCGGCAGGTCTGTTGCGACACAAGTGCGGCGGGTGATTCCCACGATTGCAAATATAGCACCGTGGTAGTGGTGCGTGGCTGTTGCCTCCTTTCTCGTATTTCCCCTTCTCGTCCGTTATGGGACTATCTTTCTTTGTTTTCGCTAAGCTTGCTCCACCCTGAGCTTCCAAAAACTGGTCTGCCAGCTCAAGCATGTCTCCCAGGGATTCCGCCCTCCTTTCTTTCAAATATAATGCCAGGTTTGAACCACATCCATGCAAAAACCTCTCCCTAATCAACAATGCGCGGAGGGACTCAAATTCTGTCTCAGTTTTGGACAGCTCAACCCATCTATCGAAGTAATGTCTTAAGCGAGCCGCGTACTCTGTTGCTGTTTCACCCCCTACTGGCCTCTCCTTATTAAACTTGTCTCGGAACCCATCCGCCGTGAAGCGAAAGCGCTTCAGGAGGGGGGTTTTAACCTTGGTGTAGTCCGCTGCATCTGTAGGTGGTAGCCTGCCATAAACACTTAGCGCCACTCCTGTAAGACATGTCGAAAGCGCCGTTGCCCATTGGCTTTCAGGCCACTTTTGCCCTCTGGCGATGCTCTCAAACCGGCGTATAAACGCATCTAAGTCGTCCCTTCCTTCGTCAAAGGTGACGAGCAGTCTACCTGCGTGTATTCTCAAACTCGGCTCCTCCCCGGCATCGCCGTGCTCACTGCTGGATCGGCTCACCCTGCTACTCTCACTGAGGCGAATCTTTAATTGCAGTAACTGCACTTCCCGTTCTGCGGCTTCTCTTGTCGCTTCTCGTTCTTTCTCCCTTTCTTCGCGCTCTCTCTCCTTTTCTTCGCGTTCTCTGTCCTTTTTTTCTAATTCTCTCTCCCTTTCTTTTTCCTTTTTCTCCCGGGCCAGTGCCTGCTCTTCTCTGGCTAACGCCTGCGCCTGTTCCTGCTGCTCCTTAACCCATTGTCTCAGTTCGGCACCCACGAGGCCTAACTGTTTACCGTGCGCGATCCACTTATCAAAATCCATACACTCCATACTGCAAACTGTCACTATAATGCCACTATAAAACCGGCGCAATCATATGCCGGATGCAACCGCTTCAACTGTGCGGCTCTATCACCACGCTGTCCGCACGGTTCTCGTTCACCCCTCACTGTCTTACTCTTGTACGAAACGTCCTCGTCGCGGATGCCAGTTTTGTTACAAGCTGCCACTCTAGTGTCGCCAGCGCGAAGTCGGCGACGGGAATGACAGCAGGTTAGTTCGTTCCATACGCAAGCAGAGACAGTGAAGAGATCAGAGACGTGAGAAAACAAAACAAACTTTACTATAGTGATGTTGCAGCACACGGGATCTAGTACAACACTTCAATACAACTAACAAAATACATCGACACTTGATACAACTAAAAAATATATAAAAAACAATAAATCAGCTTACGAGAAAGAACTATTACAAACTACACAAACTAACAACAATAGAACTACGGAGGAGAAAGTTCGAAGATATAAACAGGTGAAGGCATACGTGTGATGACCGGCAGCGTTGTGTCCCCGACGATCGGATGCGAGAAGTCGAAGAGAGTTCTGGCACGACTGCGATGTCGGCGGTGTTGCAACGCTGGTGGCTCCGGGAGGCTAGTGCTTGCAGGTGACTTCGGGCAGGTTGAGCTAACTCGAGGCGAAGTCCCGATGTCTACGTTGCAGACGTTAATATCGCGTCACAACTAGACGAACGGCCAAGTTTAGGTGGCCAGCCGATACAGAGCCACACTAAAAACTTCTAGAAGAGATGCTTGTTGATCTGTTTCTACACCATGTTGGTCAGCGAATAGTCTGCCTAGCAGGGCAAAATCCTGCACTTAAATCCCCCTCGTGTCTCCTCGCTCTCTTCCTTGGAGACAAGAGACCTCTACATGGGTCCAATCATGCGCGTTTCATTGATGGAAACTCCGCCCCAAAAAATATATTGACCCCACCCCTTTTTAATTAGGAGAGGGCCCTCAACTAGCGAGAGTGACAACCTGTTGGGGTGTTGTCATACGACTTGGCCACCAGAGGTTTTCCCATGGTTTTCCCCGTGGGAACGGTCAGACTGTTTGGCTCTCAGCCGGTGCGTCCCATAGTCTAATCCTTGTTCGGGGTACATCGCGGCCTTCCACGACCCTGCAGACGCCGCCGCAGTTACAAAGGATCAAATGTCGGCGGCGACGTTCGAAGAAGAGCACTCCATTCTGCACTTCTCGGCTCTCTTTCATGCGCCTGCCGTTTCCACGGTCAGTGGGGGAGTACGGCGCCCGTTAATTGCCGTGACGCGGGGTCGCCAAAATGGCCGTCCGTGACAGTTTCTCTGCCTGCCTCAGGTATAAAAACGTTTATCTGTTTTTCAGACTGCAGGACTTTTTCGAGGACGAGGCGGAGCTTTCTGGAAGCGACGTCGGAAGCGACGGCGAAGAAGAGGACGACGAAGAAGGTGTGGTGGCCGACCTCATTGCCGCCGAGAACGGGAAAGAGGATGACGACAAGATACGGGAAGAGATTGGACGCTTTCACTTGTGAGTTGCTGCCTGTGTTGACATTGCTAGGGAATTGCTTAATGTGTTTAAAGCATGAAACAGCGATGGAAAGAAAGCATAGTTTATCTGCTTGCTTTTTACGATTCCTATGTTTGTGTCATTGGTGCTTTTCATATGTGATTAAGGCACAGGACGACATTTGATGACACATAGATATTTATTTGATGGCAGTATGTCAGACTTGAGTTTTAGTTTATTCAGCATATCTGGGTTGAGGGTTACATAGTCATGAATACATAGTCAGACCTTTTTGCAGTGTTTTCTTGGAGAATAGACCAACTTGGTTTGTCTCTTTCAGTGACTCAGTGGCTGTTACTGCAGATGGGTCAATTCAAGGCCTCATGTCATTAAAAGCAAGTGGAGAAGAATGTGTTACGCCCCGCCGCGGTGGTCTAGTGGCTAAGGTACTCGGCTGCTGACCCGCAGGTCGCGGGATCGAATCCCGGCTGCGGCGGCTGCATATCCGATGGAGGCAGAAATGCTGTAAGCCCGTGTGCTCAGATATGGGTGCACGTTAAAGAACCTCAGGTGGTCGAAATTTCTGGAGCCCTCCACTACGGCGTCTCTCATAATCATACGGTGGTTTGGGACGTTAAACTCCAGATATCAATGAGAAGAATTTGTTACCGTATTTACTCGCGTAATCCTCGCACCCCCCACATCGTCCGACAAAAATACGATTTCTTTTTTTCCTCGAGTACTTATCGCACCCCCGAAAATTGCCTGCAATAATGTCGTCTGCTCGTTCCAGCCACTGATGATAATAGCGTGTGCCGTCTGGTGCCATCTCCTAAGCATAGAAGGTACTATTATTGCACCGAGATGCAATCAATCCAAGCCAAAGTGGCAAGTGCGCGTTGCGGCCTGATTTGTATGTTGTGTCTTTAATCTTGTTACAGTTATGGGGCGATGCGGAAGCTACACGGCTGCTTTCAAGTTGAAAGTGATTGGTCATGCACTAAACAACGGCAATAGGACCCCCGGTAGGCCCTTCGTAGTAGACGAGTTTTGTGTTCGCTTCTGGTGACGGCAGCTGAAAGCCACCAAACGTGTTGGGCCTTCCGTGTGCCTAAGGCTGGGATTAATGGTAAACTTTATTTCTTCAGAAGGCAACTGCGGGTGATTCTGTTAAATGGCCATCAGCCCAATACTGATGTCCTTCGCTTACCTTTTGCGGACTCCTGTTGAGCGACAAACGCTACCGCAACGTCCACAAAGCTTTGCGTATGGTATTCTAATTCTCAACTATTTGCGCCTGCCTTTTGTGTCTCAAATAAATCCTGCCTTTTGTGTAACCTGTGTTATATTGTTGAAGTAAGTCTTAATTAATACTTCTCAAAGCTTGCTGTTAGTTGCTGGCGTAAGAATCCCGACTTGCGGCCACTTCATTTTCTTTTTCGCTGTGTACGTTTTCGTGGAAAGTTTTCCCCGCGTAATTCTCGCACCCCCCAACTTTGCATCGGTCTTCCGCCAAAAAGAGTGCGAGGATTATGCGAGTAAATACTGTATACTGAGATTTTCGTTTTTGTTAAAGTATAGCAGGTGGATGAAATTATCACGGAGTCCTTTACTTCACCATTTTTTAAAGGTTATTGGTTGCCTTATGCCACTATACTTATCTTGAAGGGGCCCTGAAACACTTTTTCAAGCAACCATGGAATGAATACACTAGAAGAGCTTATTTCCTCACGAATAAGCCACAAAAATGTTAAGAATCCATCCAGTGCGAGTGGTGTTACGAAGGTTTGTCGCATGCTGCAATTGCATTCTCTCTTTTCTCGTCCCGACGAAAGCACTGGAAGCTAAGCAGGGAGGGATAGCAGGGCCACAGAAAAACGTCGCGCGCGCCTCGTGACCTTGAGCACTTTTTTTTTCTTCGAATGCGCGGTTTTTCCAGTGTAATCGCGTGCGCACGCGTGGACAAGTAGCGGCCTCCCGCGGCGATCTCTGTAACGACCGAGCGCGCCATGTTCAAATCAGCCAATGGCTGATAGATGGGCATATTACCCAGGCCACGTGCTGCGATATAATATTTGGCTCGCGTGTTGTCCGGAGCCTCTACTATGGATTGGCAGCGTTTTCTGACCATGCTCAAAACGAGTTGCATGGCCCCTTTAATTGTCCGAATTATGCTGTTTTGGTTGGGTCTTCATTTTAGGCACATAAATTGCACATGTCTTTCAGGAAGATTATTTCTCGTGCAATTGATGTTATTGAAGCAGTTTGTTCTGCAAGGACACAAATTTCAGTTTGGCATCATTCTAAGAAAACTGTGCAGAACATACGATACGAAAACTGTGTTGATTACCAGTTTGTTCCTGCATGAATGGCTGTCTTTTGTTCTGCGGCATCTGCTTGGGGTGCATCAAGTTGTGGCTTGTGATTCCGGGTTGCTGCATCCCTTTTTAGCAAGCAGCTCCTCGACGAGGACAAGCGAGAGTTGAAGATCTACCAGGAGCTGCTCTTGGAAGACGGCGACCTCCACTCCGACAGTGCGGGACGTCAGCGGCAGTTCCGGTGGCGAAATTCAGGTAGGCGCGCCACTATGTGTTGAGCAGCAGGCAGCATTTACACAGCTATTGGAAGGCAATCGTCAAAGCCCCGTGATAACCTCATTTTAATGTTACTGGCGGAACTGTTTGATTAGCTTTCTAAGTTAAGACAAAAGAAGCACAAGGACATATAGGCAACATGCTGGTGTGTGAAACGGAAGAATGTTGTTATGCATCTCTTAGCACGAAGCTTCAAAGGCAATTCATTCGGCTTTTGCAGAAAAATAGTTCCACAGTTGAAGAACTGGCCCTGCAAAGCTTTCTTTCAGGGCAGGCCAGTGGATAACTTTTTTTTAAATGAACCTTTCACTACCTTGTGGACTTTTGCAGGATTAGAGTGATATTCTATAAGACTCCACAAAGTGGACTGCCTGTTTCAGTTAATGATGATTAAAAAAGAGCTCAAGAGCTGTTGGAATAGTGCACCTCAACAACGCCCACCCTTGAATACTGTTGAATTATTGTGCAGTTCAGGCATTGAAATGGGCGGTGCATTTAGTGGACTCTTACGAGATGCTCCAGCTGATCTGTTATAACATTTGGGTTGATGAAGGGGAGTGTCTGCGTGCTCACAGGCACTGATGATCTGGACCAGCATCCTGGTTCCGAAGGTGAGGAGGAAGCTCAGAACGAGACCGAGCAAGAGGCAGACACGACATGGCGCCTGCAACGCTTGGAGCGAAGGCGCTGGCTTCAAGAACAGGTGCAAGATCGCAGTCCATGTCTTGTCCTTCTCCACATTACAAGATCTTTTCCGAACTTATCAAGCGATGTTGCATTCATAGGCGCGCTCGCAGAGAGGATACGGGGGGGGGGGGGGGGGGAGTCACCAAGTTAACACTACATCTTTATCCAATTAGACCTGCCCTGTTACTGTCTAATGTGCTGGATTTGGGACCGTGCTAATTTTAAACATTAATGGCTGCCGAGGACTCCCGATGCTGCACTACAAGAACTTTTTATCTCTGCCCTCCAGAAAGCTGGGATCCACAGGCACGCTTTTGTGAGCAGAATATCATTTTGCATCTAGAAAGTATTTTCTTTTCGGGTAAGGGGGGTGGGATTGGGGGCTCTTGTGAAAGCTTGCTCTGTTTCCCCCCCTACAGAAAGAACCTGAGGTCGCAGAAAAATTCATGGTAGTGCCAACTTCTTCCCTTACCCTCTGCCTTCCTTCCTTCTCCTTTTCCCTTTTCCTTGCATTACATTTATACTACTAACAGCATCCCCTATACTTTCTTGGCATTATTGTCTCTTTTTTGTCATTAGCTACTAGTTTAAGTGATTCTGGTGTTCTGAACCTTTATACAGTCAAACTCCTTCATAAGAGCTGGGACCATTGGGTATGAGAGACAGCAGTTTGCCTAGGTTGAAATAGGCATTGATCAGAATATCAGAATATAGCACCTTACTTATCAGGGACATCTCATAAAAGGGTCAGGCAGTTGCCCTCCAGTGCATGTCTTTAGAAAAGGGGCTCAGCTGTAGCTCTTGCAACCCCTGAGTTTTATTATAATGCTATTTTTGTCAAGCAATCTTTCTCGAATAGGGTTGTTATCAAGAATGGTGCTGCGATGTGCTAATTTACCACGAAGAGTGTCAGATCTTCGCTGGCATCGCACTTGTTGCACACGACTCTGCAATATGTTCTCTTGTTTCAGGAGTCAGCGCAGGGCCCAGACACTCACGACAACGCATCTTTCTCGGAGCAGGAATCATTGCTTAGAGCCCCTGCAGGTAACTGCATTAGTTTGACGTCTTGGTTTACTGCATTCCCCAGGGACCTCAAACTCGCCTCAACTGACGAGTCGTTTTAAAAAGGCCTTTTGACGTACCATTTTCGCTCAAACCTCACTACAACAAGGTTGCATCTCACACATAAATAACTTTGGTGTAATTGAAAATTCATCATAAAGGTGTCTACTAACTCTATATCTATTGCAAGGCTATTCTTAATTTGCTTCGTTATAAAACCAATATTTCGTGACATCCAGGTTCGTAATATCGAGGTTCGAGCGTATATAGGTCATCTTGAAAGGGGATTTGTTGCCAGGATTCCATGAACATACAAATAATGATCTCCAGAATGACTAAAATATGAACATCGGTTCTTAAATACAAATTGACTTCATTCCATGCTCATGTTTCAAAACATGTTTACCGCATGAAATGTCTTACATAAAGTACACTTGCAGTCAGTCACGCCTATGTGATGCATGAATATATTTTTTTCAAACGTGTTTAATATGGGATGAACGCGGTCATGCGCGGGCCTGCCTCTATAGCATACGATCCTTCGCCCGCGTGCTTAAGCAACTCCCGGTGTACTCTGTTCTCGTCCACTGTGTTACATGGTTCATTAATCTGGCTTTAATTAAATCATGTGACGACTTTCGTCCTTTTCTGTATCTTGGTTTCTCCCACAGTCATTGCAAGGCAGGACTCGTTTACCAATAAACCAGCAGTCAAGAAAAGGGTAAGTTACAAAGTTTCTTCAAAGCTTGCGTACCTTAGCTGTAGATTAGCAGTAGAGTTCTAGGATTGGAAAGCAAAGGTGTGAAGCCAACACATATTCCCATCGGCTTTATGAGAGTGGTGTAGAGGTGGGCAGGTTGGGTGGCATATGGAAGGCAGCGACAGCTGTAATCTTTGGTGTATCAGAAGCAACGGCTAGACACAGAAAACGCAATGTTGAATTGCTGCTACGGCAAGCATTTCAAAGCAGCATGTGTACGTGGTGTCGCTGTTCTTATGGTTTGATTTTTGTTCGTTCCCAGGCAATGTGTGGCTCTTTCCTGAAACTCGACTCTGGAGTTCTCGGTCGTATCGCCGAGCGCATCAAGGTCGCCCCTCCGACCGAGGTCGAAGGTTCGGTAACCACGAAAAATTTCGTCTTCAGAGCTGCCGAAGAGAAACCTGTAAGTGTCGGGATGTGCAAGCAGGCCGTTTTACGAAAAGCTGCATCTGGCATACAAGTATCTCTGTTGCTTTTTTCATTATACAGTCAAACCCCTTTATAAGAGACACTGATGTAAAAGACAAATGGGTATAAAAGAGACCAGTGTGCATTACTTTGGAATAGGTGTTGATAAGAAGATTAATACAGTCGACTCTCCTTAATTCAAACTCAAAGGGACCTCTGAATTTTGTTTGAATTATCAAGAAGTTTGAATTATTAAATGTTCTCAGATACATAGATGACTCCGGATGAGGTGACACCACATGTTGTGATTAGGCATTGATTTAAGACAATCAAAAATTTATGGTGTTTCTAAGCCTTAACTGTACCCAGTCAACAGAAAGTAGAAGTGTAAAGTCTACAAGTTTATTGGCCATTCACTGCTGATCGAACCTTTTAGAGAAATCACCAATTGCCAACTGGCTCATTGCTATGGGCATGTGCCTTCAGCGCAAAGTTCTCTATACCAGTTCAGAAGCAGCATGGTTTAACATGTGTGTGCTTCGTTTAAAACATTTGTTTATTTGCAAAACCTTTTTCTTGAAGGCCCCAGGTGCCTATTTTTTATTTTTAGACTGTTGAAATTGTATAAGCACACAAATTTTCAAGTAACAGTGGGAAGGCAGCAGATATTTTGTGGTATGGACTTGCAAAAAGTATGAATTAACGAAATTATGGAGTTTGAATCATGAGGTTTTTATATACATTGAAAGAATAGAGGGCCAACCAAAAAATTGAATTCTGTTGGAAATACCGTGAGTCTACTGTACGTGGTACCCTGCTTATAAGGGATGCCTCAGATAAAAGACAAATCGCTTTTTGGTGAGTGTCTCTTATAAAGGGGTTAAATTCTAATAAGCTATCTACAAGTTACTTGTTACTCGCATACAAGAAAAATTTTTTATTTACATTGCTAGCTGGACAATCCGTTGTGTTGAATTTGTATTTGCCGTTTCCAGCACGCAATAATGAAAAGACATCCTTTGTTACCATAAGAGAAGGTTCAGGGCTAGTTCTTATAGGAAAGACTCATGCATCTATGATCAATGCTTCATATCTATTCTTCATTATATCAAATCATTCTTCTAACGAAGCTTTCTTTTATACATGTGCCAATACTACAAGAAGGAATAACCTTTGGACAGTTGCTGGCTTTGGTTGAGGTGTAGTGGCTATGCATCTTAAAATTATTATGCTCTTATAAGAGTGTATATCTAATGCTTGTATGTGTCAAATTACAACTCTTGATTGACTTTTCTTAAAATTGGTTAATGTTTTGCTAATTTGTTTTGTCTTGATTACAGTTTTACATGAGAGTTTTTGTGGCCTGTGTATTCTTAGTGTTTTTTTCTGCCCCTATTTTTATTTCCAGTAGTGCTGTTTATTAGGTAAATCCGAGAATCGCTTCTAATACTTCCGTTTGTTTCTGTACATTATTATTTATTTGGCTTTTTTCTGATTTATAGCAAAAAAAGCGGCCACCTGCTGACCAGCCCAGCCAGGAATCGAAAAAACCCAAGCTAGTGGAGGTGTCTGAGAAGAGAGAATTGAAAATCAGTGTATTCAACTTCATGTGAACATTCAAGTGCCTCATATGGAACAGGGCTTTTGAATATTGTGACTTATGTTAAATAAACATATTTATTTTATATCTGGGTGCTGCCTTATATATTTTATTTTAAATTCTAGAAAACAACTTACATAAGCCATAAACACGTCGGAGCTTAGAGATGCTTGACACGGCACTATGAAATTGCTATTTCTGACCCATCCATTTCGTCCATTAAAAAACTTGCAGGTTTTGTGCAGTAGACGTGAAGCACCAGGGTGTGCATTCTACAACCATTATTTTCGACCGAGAAGCATTACTCAATCGCAGGGTGCGAGTAAAGTATAGCTGGCTCTTGTTATATTCCACAAATACTATTTTTAGTCACGAATACTATTTTTGGCTAACTATTTGAATAGCTTATGGTGTGGACCTGTATTGAAACATGCCTGTGAGCTTACATAATCATAGCGGTGCAAAAGGTTTCAAAATTTCCGTAAGCCAGAATCTTCAGTAACTGTTATCAGATTCCTTAGTTATTGCTCAAATAAAAACCAAAGTGCAAATTCGAATTTTTAGAAAGAGTTTATACTGAAGCAGCCAGTGGGTATTTTTACTTTCCAGCCTCTGTATTGGGAGATCTAATCAGGCCACACGTCACCGACAAAATTAAACGTCAAAGTAATCCCCTTACTAGGGTGACCTTCTTAAAATGGCGCCTTCTAGTACACTAGACAGCAGTGCCACTCTTTAAAAAAAAAACCTCAATATAGATGACTGTCAAATTTAGCGTGTTCGAAGTAGCGTAGTAGCCAGAGCCGCCTATGAGCATCCTAAGAAAAAAACCTCCCCAATGTTCAGGCCTGGTTGGGGCTGGCCTTTGACCACCACCACGGGCACGGCGAGTGAGAGAGAAAAAAAGGCTAGCGGCGCTTTCGCGTGAAATGCCGAGTGGAGGGTCTGTTTGAATGGGTGCGGCATTCACCACTATTCCGAGTCCTCGTCTCCCAAGCCATGTGTTTCGGCGAGTACAGAAACGCCGCCAGTAAACGAGCCACGACTTCCGGGCGCATTGGCACCGCTTCGACACCTTTCGACCCTTCCGTTTCCGAGCCCGTCCGAAAAAAAAATCTACGAGGTTTCGGTTGTTTGATCCGGAAAGATCGGGCCCTGCCGCGCCACTGTGACGTCTCCGTGCGCCAGGCCAATGGGATATTTGCTGAAGATTTGCGTGCGCAGTGGCGTTAAAGGTCATGAACTCTAACCTTCCCGTGTCGCGGACACTTCGACGGCGGAGGAGCAACAAGCCGAGCTCGCGGGTTACCGCTACGCCGCCCGCCTAGCGTGACGACGGCGGCGACTCGCTTGGGGTCACACCGCCGGCGCAGCAGGCAAGGTCAGTCGAGTGGTCGCCGTGCCCTTTGCGCTTGGAGGAAAGTCGCAACCTGTGACGACCGGCCGGAGGGCCAGCGAGCTCCGCGCTAGCAGCTGCGAGCGTCGATTTTGTGCACGCGCGCTGCTGCGGTGACCCGTAGTACGACTCCGGCTGTCATCGCGCCTGCCAGCGCCGACGCTACGAGCAGGTGAGTGCGTCAACCCCGGGTGCTATCGCGCGTTGCGAGGCGCGGGTTCGTTGAAAATGTTGCGTCGGATGGCGGGGGCGTACGCTTGCAGCGCACGACTGTGCAGTACCGTGCAGTGTGTGTATTCATACGTGCTCGACGACGCTTCAGCTCGCAGTGCGAGCTCATTTTGCGGGTGCTATTTTTACCTCGAAAAATCTCTCGCGGAACGCCTACCTGCGGGATTTGTCGTGGACGTGACGTTTTGTGCCTGGAGTGGTTGTAACTTAATTGTGCCCTTAATTACCAAACGTCGCAGATGTCACCGCAACGTTGCGTATCAGAAAGTGCGCATATTAGAATATATATCAGAATATATGCATACCCAGATCTCGGTATGCATTGTGAGGGCTGGGCGGGCTAGGCATGAAGGCTGAGAGGCGTTGTGAACGAGAAGAATGCGCTTTATTCGAACATGAAAACGTGCCGACGCGCCGGAGGCGGGAGCGAGATTGATAAAACGTGTCCCCGGCCCTCGCTTGGGCTTGGAGTTTATCTGAGTAAAGGCGCCGCAGGTGGCGCTGCCGATTAGATAGGCCGCTACGCTATAGTGCGCATGCGGGCGCTCACATCCGGCCCCTCCTTGTCTGACCAAGTCCCATTGGTCTAGGAAAGGAGCACTACTTGGTGCTTCACTGCGAGAGAGAATAGTCCTTCAAGCGCTCGGGTGGGCGCTTTTGGCGGTGAGGTCGCGAGGAGGGTACCGCTGGAGGCAAAACTGCAGGGCCAAGGGAAACTGGTGTATGAGATAACTCATTGCCAACACTGGGAGAGCCAGATAAGTCACACAAAGGCCACTCTGGGTTTTCACAATGTAAGGCTCGACATAAGGTGGCACGTAGTGCTTGAGTTGAGAGACGTGCACTATCCTGTCTTGGAGTCGATCACGAGGACCTTGACCGGTTACGCGGCTAACGACAAACGTAACGGGTGTTTTCTGGTTGGTGATTTGGTATATTCCCTTGAATTTGGGTGCCAACTTTCCAGTTCCATCTGCTACAGGCTCTTGGCGGCGCACCCAGACGAACTGGCCGACTTGGAAGGAGTGGTCTCGATGGGACTGATCATATGCTGTCTTCCGTTTCCCTTGTGCTTCCTCGGTATTACTTGCTGCTACGGCCCGGTTCTGAGACAGCATTAGGAGACGGTCTTGTAGGGTCCTGGCTGTGGCGGGACGGTGGCGTTGATATGGGAGCTTGGGGACGTATCCATACAGTAGTTCAAATGGAGAGAAACAGCTGCTGGCGCTATAGCTTGTGTTGATGGCAAAAGCAGCTTCTTCGAGTTTGCTTGCCCAGGAGGTCTGGTCCGTTGGACACAGCTTACGAAGAACGGAGACTAAAGTCCCATTGCTTCTCTCTACAAGACCATTGCTGGCTGCGCGGTATGCCACTGAATAATGAATCTCAGCACCGTGCATGTGCATGAAGTGCTTAAACTGGTGAGATTCAAAGGCTGCTCCATGGTCAGACATGCAGTCATCAGGACAACCAAAGCGGAAGAACACCGACTGTAAATGTGCTATAACTTCCTTAGCTGATGTTGAAGTTACAGCCGCTGGGACAATGAAACGCGTGGCAAAGTCAATGACATTCAAAATGTACTTCTTTCCTGAAGCAGCCGGCATTGTGATGTGATCAATGGCAATTAAGGCAAAAGGAACATCCGACACTGGCATGAGACCCATTTTGCCAACACTTTTAGATATTGGGCGGTTGTTGCTTTGGCAGATCTGGCATGCTGTGACGTAGTGGGTCACTGAAGACGTAAGGTTTGGCCACCAGTAACGTTCTCTCACTTTGGTCAGTGTCCGGGTTACATCCATGTGGCCTCCACCGTCATGAACAACCTCCAGGACAGCCTGGCGCATCTTTGCTGGCACTACAATAGCTTGAGAACCTGAAGTCGCGTCACTATGGTACAGGATGTCATCAATTATGGCAAGGTCATGGTCCCACGATTCTGAAGATGACAGAGAGCGACGAAGGTCCTGGCACTCTTTGTCTTCTGCTTGCATAGCTGCGAGAGACTGTGTCTGATGGAGGACTGCTGCAGATAATCGTGACAGCATGTCAGCAACCACGTTTTGACGGCCTGGATGGTGCTGCACAGTGAAGTTGAACTCTGTAAGATCCATCAACATGGTCGTAAAACGACGTGAAGGCCTGATGTTGGCTGTTAAGCATGCAACGGTCCAGTTGTCAGTCAACAGGCAAAATTTCTTGCCGAGCAAGTAGTGTCGGAACTTGATCGTAACCGCCCAGTGGACACCAATACACTCCCAAACGTTGCTATGCAACTTCTTCTCTGCGGCCGTGAGTGCACGACTCGCATATTCGATCACAGTTTCTTTTCCACACTGTTTCTGAGAGAGCACAGCACCAATTGCGGTTCCTGAGGCATCTGTTGTGACTGTGGTTTGGGCGTCTGGATCAAAATGGCCCAGTACAGGTGCCTCTGTTAATGCTGTCTCCATTAAATGTAGGAAGCGATGCGGACAGGTCTGGAAGGGTCGTGACCTGAACTGGCGCTGCAGCGCGTTGTGACACTTGAAGGAGCTGTTGAAGTAAACCCGTCAGCAACTCGGTACTTTGGGCTGCATCGAAGCTCGAAGGAAGCGGCGTAGTGTTCGGGCGCTGGCTGGACGCTGAGGAATCTGGGGAAGGCGACAAAGGCGTCATTGAGCGGTTTTGGGCTATATCGGCGAGGAGACGATTGATCACTTCTTCCTTCGGCCCCGTAGCGTCCAGGTTTCGGCGAACCAACTCTTCACGGAGGAAGTCTGCTGTAAAGCCGGCGAGGTCCTCAGGCGTAGCCTCGTTCCAGTTCACAAGCGGCATGGCGTTCACAAGAAATTAGCAGAAGGAGCACAAGACTCACGAGAGACGAAAAAGGCGGGCAGGTCAAGTTGGTTCGGCTCTGCAGGCGAGCTACTTCATCGGGCGGGTGGGCGTCAGCACGACGGTCGGCGAAACAAAAGGCAAAGGCACGAAATGACTCGGACGAAGCGGCCGAAAGGCGTATCGGGCGGCGGACGGTAAACACAGGACGGAGCGCCGCGCGGCTAGTCCGGCGGATCACTTCACGAGGCGGGCAAAAGGCGACGTTCCAGGCATGGTTCGGAGTCGACTGCGCCAGTTGTGAGGGCTGGGCGGGCTAGGCATGAAGGCTGAGAGGCGTTGTGAACGAGAAGAATGCGCTTTATTCGAACATGAAAACGTGCCGACGCGCCGGAGGCGGGAGCGAGATTGATAAAACGTGTCCCCGGCCCTCGCTTGGGCTTGGAGTTTATCTGAGTAAAGGCGCCGCAGGTGGCGCTGCCGATTAGATAGGCCGCTACGCTATAGTGCGCATGCGGGCGCTCACAGCATATAATAATGCTAGGTTCTGACCACGCCAAGTTTGTTCGTGCGACACGACAGAAATCCGCTCCCCGGGTATAACCACGCAGCCAAATATAAACGTAGTCACAAACCGATCTAGCGTGGCACGGTATTCCAAGCTCCGCTCTGCGTTTCTGGCGCATAATTCGAGCGCGTCTGTGGGACCGTCGCGTCGCGATGTGTGTGCACATATCCGGTCGCATAAGAACGCTTGCGTAACAACGGCGAGGTTTGAAGCTTTCGCATATATCTTAAATGCTCGCACGACCGTTCGACTAGCTGCAGGTGTGTGTCGTGTGTCGGGCGGAACTTCGGCATTTAAAAGAAATGAAATCGAGGCGGCGTCGTCGTATCTGACACTTGGGACGATGATCGCTCGTGTGCGTAGAGCGCGGTTTTTTTTTTTTTTTTTTTTTCCGGGGCGAAAGTCGAAATACAGAAGGGCGCGTGGAGAAAAGGTGAAACGCAGGAAAAAGAAAAATCATGCAGGCGCGCGCTGGGAGCTTGCGTTGCTTATTCAACGGAACCCGAAGGAGCGCTAGCCTCGCGTTCTCTTGCAACCTTTCGTCGCGGTCTCTCTCGGCGGATCAGGGTCCAACTCCAGAAATAGTCGGCAAGGCACCACACGCCGCTGCCGGGCTTCTCTAGAAAGCGGCGAGCTTAGTGTGTGTGTGCACTGCCCGTGCATACGCGAGGGTTGGGGGGGAAGGTACCGTTTTAACCCTTTTCGTAACACCGTCAGAGGAAGGAACTCCCGAGGCAAGAGTGAAGGGGCAAAACCCTAGAAGAAAGAGAGGAATGTTACTGTCTTGTCAACGCTGCTGATGATGACGTCTGCCTTCTCCTTATGTGGAAGTAGCCATCAAGAGAGTAAGGGTGGTTATATGTATATATAACCAAGACGAAGATATGGACACGGGCCAGGCACGTAGGCAGGATAACCGCTGGTCATCATGGGTGTCTGACTGGATTCCCAGAGAAGACGAACGCACGAAGGAGAGACAGGAAGTTACGTGTATAACGTGGCTTCGTGCAGAACGCAGAAAGCACGAGACTTGGTTGATTTGGCGGATCATAAAAGAGACATTTGCCCCTGCAGTGGGCGTAATGAGGCTGATGATGATATATTTCATTTCAGTTTACGTAATAATTGCTACACTACAGCTAAAAATGACAAATTAATCTCTCCTATATCAGGCTGAAGGTGTCGCGTCTCTCGTTTAATGTGCATCGTATACACTTCATCCGTGAAGTGTAAGTATGGGCACGATTGGTTTTTATTTTATTTTTACTTAATGCCTCAACAACGACCGATGACATCGAAACGAGTCGTTGTGAAAGAATAATAATTGCTGTAGTTTAACTTCCCGAAACAACCATATATGACTATGAGAGACGCCGTAATGGAGGGCTCTGGAAATTTCGAGCTCTTGGGGTTCTTTAACGTGCACTATGTAAGCACACTGGTTTCAAGCATTTTCGCCTCAATCGAAAATGCGGCCGGGAATCGATCCCGCGACCTGCGGGTCAGCTGCCGAGTGCCTTAGCCACTAGACCATCGTGGCGGGTTGGTTGTGA